TCTGCTTTTTCTAAGTATGCTTCGATATACATTTTCGGACAATCTTTCTTCACATTATGATATACTCTTATTCTTTATTTTTGTAGCATTTTAATTAATAGCCTGCCAGGGATTTTAAAAAGTTATATACTGCTCTTACATTTTATTATTTTGTTTGAATTTCTGTGATAAATATAAAATTATCAATTGTTAGCAACATAATTGATAATCATAAAATTAACAATTGTTAACAACATAATTGATAATTATAAAATTAACAATTGTTAACAACATAATTGATAATTATAAAATTTAACAACATAATTGATAATTATAAAATTAGCAATTGTTAACAACATAATTGATAATTATAAAATTATCAATTGTAGAACAACAATAAAATCTTATTGTTATTTTTTAATGGTGATTTTTCACTTCTTTTTTCTTTTTTGGAATTTTATTAAACCTTTTTCAAAATTAAAATAATAAACAGCGTTGATAATAACTTTCGAATTAATATAAAGTAAACTAGTTGCTACGCATTACGTTTTCAATTTTTTTTCTTTGAAGCATTATTTCTTCTGGAATTGTTCAATTCTACTATGTTAGTTAGGGCTTCTCTAATATTAGTTATAGTGCAATAAAATGTTTGGTGCTATGTTGCTTTGGACGATAAATTAATCTTGAAACATCTAAATAATCAAGGGAAAAAGGATGTCAACAGAATCATGTATTTTCCTTAAACGTTGGGAAAAAAATGTTGAATTAGAATTTTGCCATATTTTTTTTCTCGTTAAGGTTTACTTACTGGTGTTTCCTAATGTTAGTATTTTTTATAGCTAGTTTGAAATGAAAAGATCATTACTTTTTTTAACTGTATAATAGTGAAAAAGTAAATAAATATTTCACCAATGTAAAGGTATATAGGTTATTATGCGAAAATCATTAAACATCATCAATTAATCGATTAATGAAACTATTTTATGCTTATATTCTAAATAGCAAAATTAGATGCTAGTTTTAACTATTTAATGATTGAATTTCATTTTATTGCTATGTAAAAATTTTAATGGACATTTCTATGTAAAAATGTTAATGAATGTTGATATGCAAAAATGTTAATGAATGTTGCTTTATAAAATTGTTGTGATAATTTTTTTAAAAATTCATTAAATTGTCATTTTGAAGATTAATACAAAAAAAAGTCTATATTAAGAACTTATGTATGGACTACTAATATCTAAGTTTGCTATTATTTAGTAAATATTGATTTTTAAATTTCTGTTTTCTGAAAAAATCAGATTGATAAATTATGTATTTTTTTAAATCACCCAGACAAAAATACTATAAAATAATTAGAATGAACAGAATCAATTTATGATGTTACGATGTTTAAATATTTTATGATGATTTATGATGTTAAAATTATTTTAAGATGTTTCTCTCTCTTTCTCCCCCCAATTTGTTTGACTGCTTTTTAAAAATAAAACTTATATGAAGAATAATCTGCAGCCCACGCTTCAATTCTACAGGGTTTCTGCTACCAAGGAGATTATGCTATACAACACACAACTTAATTAGAAATGTTAATAAATACTATTTAAATTATCACCGGACAATAATGTTTAACACAGCTATATCTAAATAAAATCACGAAATTGTTTCTATTCCTACTTTGGATGCGAATAAATTGTGCATAAACCACCATAGTAATGAAATACTACCACTAACACTATTGAAGAAATTAAGGGAAGAATATTTTGGAAAATAAAATTGAGATTTCTCAGAAAGAGTTCTTATTTCAAACATATATAAGCATGCAAAGCTGATTTAATTTATCGAGTCATTAAATTCTGAATGAAAGTATGAAGTGGCAGTTTCTGAGTGTTTTTTGGAATGGAAGAGGGCTCCGAGTGCGTTTTTCAACAAATAGTATAAGAACCTTAAGAAACTTGTCTTTTTGCAGAAAATTTAACCGCCAAGAATGCGAGTTCTATGGTGAGAATAGTTTAGAGAGTGTTATGGATTTATAAATTTTGCCTAGTGAAGGTTCCCGGAGAAGAAATAAAGGATCTTTATATGCAATCGTCAAAATATAAACTTTCTCATTTTCTCAAAGTCATTAAAATATCGTTTAAAATCTTCATGCTCTTAGTTCGTCAACTATTATGTTTTTCCTTTGCAAATATCTGAGAAGTAACATATAAATATCAGTTTTGCTGTTAGAATTCTATCTTTTTAAATACCACACTTTTTGTTTTGTTTTTTAATTTTAACTATCGAAGTATTACCCAAGTTCTATAAGTAGTGAGGTGTCCTAAAACAAACGAAAAAGCAGCCTTCACACCGGGAATTTATCCCTCTTTTCTTTCCCGTCTTCTCAAATAAGAACGTTGGTATATTTTTACTGCGGTAAAAATATGCTTTTAGATTTATCTCAATTGATAACAGGTGAGGTGTTTTTCATAAATAAGGTTAACAGCTAATGCAAGCGGGGATTTGTCGTTACATATTTTCAGCTGTTTCTTGAATAATGAATAAGATTATTAAAAATAATTTGAAAACATTTTATTGGTGTGAGTTTTGCTGAAATTTGTATCATTGTATAATGATTATTATTTTTTTATTTTTTGCTTAGTATTAAATTTGATCTTCATGGCCATATTTATAAAACTCTAAAAAATTCATAGATTTCTTGTTTTTTTTTTAATGTTATATCATTTAATGAGTATACAGAATTTCTTCACAAATCTTCAGCGAAAAGTCAAAAAAAGAAAAAAATGGAAATTCAAGAACCGGGAAAAGTAATGTTTCTAATTTTTAATATGACAAAAAATATGATATATGCTTAGTGTCTAATTGCATTTATTTTAATTACTTAATTTAACCATAAAAAAGTTTTATCTTTAGCTAAACAGTTTATTTTATTTTTCACTTTAAGGGTATGCACACTTTATCATTGTTTTACCTGTTATGCATACATATTATATTTAACTAAAACATCTGTTATGTTTAACTCATTACTTCTTAATAGCTATTAAAAGCAATAGATATTTGTTACTTGTAACCTGAAGCTAGATACAAAACTCTCCTTTTACTCCTTAATTGCCAGTTTGAAAGAGAACATTTTCTAAATCAGTTAAACTAGTTAATGAGAAATTAAGAAGTAATTTATTATGGCGGGTAAAGTATTTTGTTATATTTATTCTCTTTGAAATTTTAGCATATTTTTCTGTTTTCTATATTATTTCGCTTTATAATATTAACAATATTTTATAATACTACAATTTATTAAAAATAGATAGTTAATTAAAATATTGTAATTAACTAAGATAAAACTTTTTAAAATATGATAAAAATAGATTTTTAATTGGAAACTTCTTCATAGCAAGTGTCTTATCCATAACAAATTTAGTCAATTCGAATATTCTTGATTTGTTTAATTTGTAGTGAGTCTTCTGAGAAATACTTTAATTTATTAATTTTGAAAGACTATACTAGAAAGAAATTAATTTATATCAAAGGAATTACCACCGTTTATTTATTTCATTTCATAATCTTAATTCTTCTAATTCTTTCATTTCATAATCTTAAAAATCCAAACCATTTAAATTTGAAAACAGAATTCTTTACTCATAAACAGTTTTAACATATTAACTGTAAAATAAACAGTTTTACATAGAAAATAAACAGGGCGAAATATTTCCCTCTTAGTAAAGCGAGTGAGACAATGATGGTCCGCACGTGACATTGGCCTCGCCATTGTGAAGCAGAGTAGTATCGTGACCTTCAAGATGTTAGTATTCGTGTTAAGAGAGAAAGAAGCTCAAGAGTGCTGATGGGGTGAGAAGATGCGGAGTCTGGAAGAGGAGAAAGTGACTGTCTGTGCAGTGATTTGTAGTGGCGCCATCTATTGAAATGTTATGTAACGTTTGTGGCAGTTCTGCCGCGCTATTCAAAATTGCAAAATACAAACACACCTCTCCAGCTAAAAGAAAATCGATTATTTCAACTACTTTTTAGGAATTATAAACGAAGCACTGTTTTTTATTTTCATCATAGAAAAATTCAAGTTTTCAAAATTATGAAAATAGATACATTTTCTGAACAATAAATGAAAATGCTTTTATGAATGCTATTTTTTATCGATTCTGATTTAATTAAACATATCTGATAAGGCTCGATTTTTTTTTAAATTATTTATTATGAAATATTATTATTGTAATAAAAGGTGCTTAAATTTTTTTTAAAAAAATTATTTCAATTGCGTTTATTAAATAAGCAATTTGATGATAAATTAATATGTTTTGCGTAAAATGCAATTTTTTTTAGTCTTTTCTTTCTTCGATTAGACTGAAGTCGATTTATAATTTCCCTTAGAACATTATGAAATATGAAAATACCAAGGAATGGGATTATTCCAAATGAAAGATTTATGTTGGATATTCTTTACAAACTATAGCTACATTATATTTCAATAAGTAACCAAATACGTCTTTAGTCATTATGATGTAATTTTTAAATAGTTTTGAAAGTTTCGCAACAGATTGAGTTTAAATACGAGTTTAAAAGTTCATTGAAATAAATGAATATCATAAATAAAGGAATAAAATAATGATTATCATAATTATGGAATAAAATAATGATTATCAATAAAGGCAAACCAGTGTGCGTGTGTTTATCTTAAACGAAAATGAGAAAAAAAAACGCTTTTGTCTTTCGAAGCAAATGTCTCAGAAAATTTATAGCATTAAATTAATTAAACTTTTATATCGTTTGCAAATTTCAGTTCACTTAAATTACAATACTACGAAAACTGTATAAAAGTTAATTCGTTATAATACTTACATCATTTTAATTGCTTTTTTATTTTTATTTGTACAGCAAGCTCAACAAAAATATTTAAAGAAATCTTGTTTGTATGTAGATTACATTTGAATTTATTTTTTCAAACAAGTTGTGCCCTTTTATAAAATTAAAAGCAATTGAGTTGAAAATTAATCATTGCTTTGTTTTTACAGGGTCTAACAAGCCATTTAGTGTTTGCCATTGCTTCTGCAGCCCTTGGTTCATCATTCCAACATGGGTACAACACTGGAGTTACAAATATTCCTCAATTAGTAAGAATCAATTATTAAGTATTCAATTAATACCTAATATTTCTATAGGTTTTCTGAGAGTAAGGCATAAAAGCTGAATAATTTTTAATATTTTAATAGAATTTTTCATTGAAATAAATAATTTAATTAACGCCTAAAAAGCTGTACCTTAAAGTAAATTAAGATAATATCGTATCAATTTCTTCATATGTTTTGGCAAGATTTTTCTATTTCTTCTTGTAAAATTAATGTGTCGAATTAATTCAATGAACAAACAATTAACTTAATAACGAAAAAAAAAAAATTTGTTACGTAATTACGCCATTAAGATTGAGTCCTAGAATGGGAAGATCCGATCATTAGATCAAAAGTTATTCAAGATAGTCCTTTTTTATTTTTTTATTTATTTATTTTTTGCACATTGTACAGTACACTAAATTAAGAACACACATATTGAAATTGTGTTCTCAGTTTAAGCTTTAAGTATTAAAATAGTTAGCGCAGAATCACGATGAATGCGGAGCATATAGAATACATAATTTTCGGTAATGTTTATTATGGAGAGAATGGTGGATGTTATTACAAAAGTCATGCTCCAAATTTGATAAGCCTGATATTATAATATTTAGCAGTAGATGAAGAAAAAAGAAAATTGCTCCTTTGTATGAATGTTTATAACGAATTACATACTTTATTAAAAGTTATTGGAACTAAATAATTTTATTTTTGAGTGAAAAAAAAGCTAACTGTTTGCTTTTAAAAATAAAAAAGCGCTACCTTCCATTCTTTTCTTTTTTTATGGAAAACAATATTCTGCAGGTTTTAAAATGTAGCGAAATGTAGCGTATCTACCACTACAAAAATACAATTTCAATTCACTAGTATATAAGACATGTTAACTTGATTCTATGACGGGGTACCTTTTCATAGATGAAGGTTGACATTGTCGATAACTACTCCCCCCACATTGGTGACCTTCGGACGTGATGTGAACACGCCTAGGTTGGCAGAAACGCCCACTTCGAGATGAACACGCCTATCTTAACAGTAAGGCTCACCCCCACAAAAACAATTATGGCTAACTGGTAAGACTTTGCAACAAGAAGAATGACATAGAGAAGCGTTCTAGAGAAGGCCAAGGCCCACCCTGGGCTGTCGTACCGGTGATGATGATGATGAATATTTCATGCATTTTTAAAAGGAGAAAACGAAAGAAAAACTATTTATTGAGCCGAAATACACGCTATTAGAATACCTCACGCATCGACAACAAGTGTATTTTTTCTATCAACGCAACTAAGCGTAAAGCCCCCCGACTAAAGTTGTACTATAAATTCCCTACTACGCACTAGTTTTCTGATGATGATGGGAAAACCTATTTGATGCAGGGAAGCTATTTAAAGCTCAGAAAAAGCTTTAAGCAGATTTTTTACACCCCTCCCTTCTTGTCAGTTAAAATAAGCAAATTACAAATCCCCTCCCATGCTAACGTAAGAACCCCCCCCCCCCTGGTTTTAGCTGTAACTTTTACTTTTACTGTAGTAATCTAGTTTGAGGATTAAAATTAAATTTAAAAAAAAATTTAACTTTGCAATGAACAAAGTTAAATTTGAATTTATATTTCAAAATTTTGACTGGAATATTTTTTTAGGAATCTTTTGTGTTTTGAATTCCTTTGGAGTTTGAAATTGTCGACCTTTGAAACTCTTCGAAGGAATTTTTTCCCAAATTTAACTTTTATTTCAAGATAGAAATTTTTACAAGTGCAATTTTTTTTGTGAAAATTTTTCTTTTGCTTTTTAAGAAAATTTTAAAAATGAGGGGATTTTAATATCGTAAGTGAGCATTGCTCATACTCCTCCCCCTTTCTCAGCAAGAATAAATAAATCTCTAACCTTCCCCTTTTAAGTGCTTACATAATATTTAAATGGCCCCCTCGATATCCCATAAATTCCTGACAGTTTAAAACAAGCAGGACGTGGTTATAAGCATTTTAATGTTATTTACAGCAAAGATCTGGAATGCATCTGGCTGAAAATCAGCTAGAATGTCTGCCAGCTTGAATGCCAATGATGATCCAGCTAGAATGTCAATGATGATCCAGCTAGAATGCAAATGATTAGCAATATTTGCAATAAAGCCATCTTGTCGATAGCAATAATAATCGCCTCCAACCGTAGTTTTATGATTAGGCAAATGAATTTCTTCCAGAATCAATTTTTATCAAGTTCAGCACAAATTAATAACTCCTTTATTATTGAAAACCAACGAAGGTCTTTGAAAAAGTTCTCAAACCAATATTATGAAGGTTTTGAAATCCATATTCCGGTTTTTCATCGTGTGGTATACCTTGAATCGATACTGACCACAATCGAACATTTTGAAGGTTATGAGTTTCTTCCATAACAAAAAGTTTCTCAATAACAAACTCATCTTCAGCGTGCAATGAAAAAAAGATCGCTACCTTCCATTCTTTTCTTTTTTGATGGAAAACAATATTCTGCAGATTTTAAAACAATCATGACTGACTGGTAAGACTTTGCAACAAAAAGAATGACATAGAGAAACATTCTAGAGAAGGCTAAGGCCCACTCTGGGCTGTCGTGCCACTGATGATGATGAATATTTCATGCATGTTTATTTAACATAATTTTTAAAGCTTTACTCATACATTTAAAGCTTTGTTTTTGTTACACTATAATATTTCAGCAATAAATCAATAGACAGTAGAATTCTTGTTTCATGCATACGTTGTGATAGAAATAGTGTATGAAGACTTATTGAACATCATATATATATATTCATTGGTCCTGGATTTTAGTAATTAAAAAAAGACTGTTCTCATTCTGTAGTTTTGACATGTAATGAATGCCTTAAGTTTTATAATTAACACTGTTTTACCAGGGAAATTTCTTTTCTTTTCCTTAGCTTATACAAAAATTCATCAACGATACTTATTATGAAAGGTTTGACACTCTTGCCGGAGAGGCGACAGTTACTTACATCTTCTCCATCCTTGTATCCATCTTCTGCGTGGGCGGCATGGCTGGAGCTCTCATGACTGCCTTTGTAGCTGAAAGGTTTGGTAGAAAAGGAGGTCTCTTACTAAATAACGTCTTCGTTGTTTTAGCAGCAATATTTATGGGTTCATCAAAATCAGCAGGCTCATATGAAATGCTTATTATTGGACGTTTTTTTATTGGATTCAATTCAGGTAAATAATCAGGTAATTTTTTAAAATTATTGACTTCTTTAATGAAAAGAGTTTTCTTAAAAGAAAAAGCAATTAAAAAATATGAAAGTCAAAGGTGGAGTTCTATAATTCAGTTTTACTTCACTCTATTCAGCGAGAATCGATAGTGGAAGTAAACGTTAAGTTTTGCTGTTTATCGCCAACATCTGTTAGTTCTTCACTGATTTGGTAACTCTTTTTTACTTTCACATTGGTCACCTTGTAATAATTTTGGAGTCAATTCAAAAGTATTGCCTGGCTTTGCTTACTTTCGCTATCAGTTCTCGCTAAACAAAGTATAGCTCAATTTTATATATTTTGATTTTCTATTTAAAAATGTAACCATCTTATCGTATGTACTTAACTTTAAAATTTTCATGAAATAACTATATAACTTAAAACTAAAAAAACAAACAGAACTTGTCTAGGGTACAATTTAATCGAATGAATATATAATATATAGTTTTACGATGTATAGATTATTATCTAGATTTTATCGAAGTAATTCTAACTCAAATTTTGAAATTTATATTTTAAATTAACGTTTGCAGCAAAATAGTGATCATATTGAATAAAGAAATATTTCAAATTGCTGTTGTTGCAGCTTCAATTAAAAATAGAAGAGAATTTAAGATCCTGATAATTATTATTACAAAATAACTTTAGTATAAACACTGTAGATAATAGTACTTTGTTTTTGTTTTTTATTGTATAGGAATTATTAAAACTTATCATTGATTTTTATACTTACTGAAATAAATAAATTGTACTCACAGTGTGCAAGAATTTTTCTTTTTACTAAATTTATGGCATGAAAAAATAACACTTGCTTTGTAGAAACTTTCTTCTTGTTCTGGTTAATTAAAATTGGATATTTAAAGTACTTGTTATTTTTAATAACTTTTTTGTAGTGTTTGGATAGCGTTAGGGATTTTATTTGAAATTAAATATTAAAATAGTTGAGAAAGAAGTTGTTGAATAAGAAGTAAAATGACAAAATGACAAGCAATGCTAAAACAAAATTAAAAATCTTTGCAAAACTATCATGCTAAAAAACAAATTTTCCGCATTTTCTTTTGTTTGTCTCAGCCAGCAAGTCTTGAATCATTGTACTTCATACCTTTTAAATCATAGCATCTAAGTAAATACTAAATATAGCTGAATAAAGACTCGTATACCCATAATAGGAATATGTTGTCTATTTATGGAGATAAAATAAAACAAATCCCTTGCAAAATTATCGTGTTGTAAAACTAATTTTTCCTTATTTTCTTCTGGTTGCTTCAGCTAACAGGTCTTGATTCTATACATTTTAAATACCGAAAACATAATTTATAAAAACAAATACTTAATATAGTTCAATAAAATTCATATACCCCTAATATTAATAAGCTGTCTATATACAGTGACAAAGCAAAATAAAATTCCATGCAAAATTATCTTGTCAGAAAACGAATTTTTCCGTATTTTTTATGTTTTTGTCGCTAGCAGGTCTACTCAATATATTTTGAATAACAAACTTATGATTAAATAAGTGCTAAACGTTTTATTTCAGGTTTAAATGCTGGTTTAGCACCCATGTATCTGGCAGAAATAGCTCCACTCCATTTAAAAGGAGCCGTAGGGACTGTGTATCAGCTTGTAATTACCATATCTATTTTAGTTTCACAAGTCCTAGGCTTGCCACAAATTTTAGGAACTGAAGATCACTGGCCTTTTCTCTTGGGTAAAATTTTTTAAAAAAGTTTTTTTCTTTTATTTGAAATTTTGTTTCATTATATTATGCCTGAAAAAATTCCAAAATAATTCTGATGTATTACTTTGTATAATCATTTTCTATAATCACTACTCCTAGTTAAAAAAATTATTAATATATAATTAAGAATCGCAAATTAATTTTGAAGTGGGGAGGAAAGCGTTATCCAAATTTGTGAATTGTGGTCAATTAAAAGAAGAGTGAAATTTAAATGATCCGAAAACCGTGTATTTTCCTGGTGAAATTGAAACTGAAGGATGTGCTTCCTAACGAAAAGCTAACTCCTTGCATTTTTAATCATAAATTGACTGTTATTTGTTTATTTTTTATTTTTATTTTCTTTTGGTTATTTTAGTTTACTTTTTGTCTAATACCTTTACTAATGATTCATAAGTTTTTAATGATGTTTTTCTTTGTTATTTTTTTCCTCTCTTGTTGTTTTTTCCCACTTACATGTTAATTTGCTACCTTTAATGTGTATAGATTCTAATGACTTAATTTTTGTCAAAAATTCTGAAATGACTTTGAAATTTCAGTCATTTTATAACGCAATGTGTACTCTGTTTGCAAATTCTAATATATTTGCATCCTAGCCATAACCCATTTACGTGCATATAATAATGCAATATAAAATAGAATTAGAAGATAAAATTAGGAATCTAAATACCGTTCTATAATTAGATCAGGGGTGGGCAAACACCAGCCCGCTAACAGTTTTTTTTCTTTCTTCCTTTTGTGACCGCTAAGACAGTCAGTAAAATTCAGTTTGAATAGAAATGTAGTGGAGGGGATGAGCGTGGGAATCGGGTACCCAAACGAGATTGTTGCTAAAATCCCTTTTTTGTCAATTTTGCAGCTTTGTGTTGACTGTGATGAAAATCTCATCACGCAGTCTCACACCTGACAAAAAATATTGTGGCAAAGTGTAATCGGGTACATCAATCACATTGAATTCTTTCTAAAATTAAAGGTGTTGGAAACTGCAGGTGATATGAAATTAGCTCAATAAATAAATTGAATAAAACTGCCATTATTGTGCTTATTTTTCTATATTTATTCCAATAATACAATTTATACCTTTTCTGAAATGCTAAGTTAACTACTAACTGCAATATGCACTCATTTTAAAGTTAGCAAGCGAGTCAGCGAAGCAAATTATATCAAGAGCAAGTTAGCGAAGGACCTCATCCAGCCTTCGCTAACCTTTGTTTTCATTAAATTATCCCCACGTCAAATCATTTGCCCACCACTGAATTAGACAATAAAATATTTTTAATGCCTCATATACATTTTTTAAGATATCGTCTTTTATTTATATATTTTCATAAAAAAGTTTCTCTAAAATCCACTAGATTATAATGTAATGTTCGGTCTATCATATTCAATGTATTAATAATTGTTATAAATTAATAATTGTATTCATTATTATCAATGCATTAATAATTGTTATATATTAATACAGGCGAACCCCGCTATAGTGAACACGCTTATAGTGAACTCCCGGATATAGTGAACGAAATGCTCGGTCCCGTGCCTTGCTATACACGTATAATGTTATTTTTAGTGAATATAGTGAACCAAAAAAGTGAGGAAGCTGGATATAATGAACTTTTTTCTGTCTTCGACTGATTCCCCTCCCCCCCATTTTTTTTGTAATAATTTTGAAATTTCTACTTCAAAATAAATACATATACCGATTTTTAAAACCATCTATAGAAGCTACTTTTATGTGCTCGAATGGCAGGTTTGACAGGTTCAAAAAGCGGAATAACAGAAATTCATGAAAAATTATCTGAGGGTCGGGAAGTGTTTCCAGATCTGATGTTGAGGATTGCTCATCAGCTAAAGATTACTAATTTTTTTTGTGCGCAAGACGCACATTTTTGCTACTACATAATATTTTTCAGTCATTTATACGAATATAATGTAATAAAAGGGAGGAGTTTGGGCACCATTAGTAAAATTGCCTGCGTAACGGATATAGTGAACTCCCGGTTATAGTGAACCGAAATGTCGGTCCCTTGAAGGTTCACTATAGCGGGGTTTGACTGTAATTGTATTCATTATTATCAATGGATTAATAATTGTTATATATTAATAATTGTATTCATTATTATCAATGCATTAATAATTGTATATTAATGCAAATAGATGTTGATGTAAATGAATGTACATTATCGTTTTGGAGAATATCTCTAAATTGTTAATGTTTTGGTACTTTTTTTCAGCCATGACATTAGTGCCATCCATATTCATGTTGGTCACTCTACCATTTTGTCCAGAATCACCAAAATATATTTTAATTACTCAAGGAAGAGATGTATCTGCCCAAAAAGGTACTTTTTTTTATTTTATTAAATTAATTAATACAAATTTATTTAAATTATTTACGTGTTCTGAATTGTTTAAACATTCTAAAGTTATTCTGAACTATTTAATTATTTAAAAATTCTTCTAAACTGCTTAACTATTTATTACTATTTTTTCTCAAGTTACGTTTATAATCTGACTGTAATAAATAGATTCTCTCATTAAATTTCCTATCTACAATCGGAAAAAAATTTATTTTACGGTAAAAAGTAAAAGTAACGGGATTCTGAGGACCGGTACTTTTCATCTTAATTTGATTCGGAACTTTTACAGTATAGCATGTCAATAATAGAATATATAAAAACATATTTATTATACCCTGTTTCTAATCAATTCTCTGGTCAAAACTGAGCATCAATGTAATACTTTAATATTTTTCTTCAATAAATCAAAATATAAACTATCTTAGAAATTGCTAATGCAAATTGTCATAGTAAAACTTACTAAAAAAATATTACTCGCAATTATTCAGTTTGAAATTTTTTTTAAATTGCATATTTCTCACATATTATTTTTAAATACTTACCGTAGCTTACAAATTTTCGCAAAAGCAATATTTCTTACTGTTTTGTCCAATTTATGGCTTTTTTTTTTGCTTCTTTTTTTGTACAGACATATTTCAATATGTTCATTTATATTCAGTTGTAATGTCTCACCAAAAAAATTTTCTCATTCCTTTTGCAATAAAATTTTAGCTTTAACTTGGCTTCGAGGAACAATAGAGGTTCATGATGAAATGGATGAAATGAGAGCTGAATACGAAGCCATGAAACTTGTCCCAAAGGTAATGATCATTCCTTTGCTCATTTTTAACTTTAAAAATACACTGAAGAGCCAAAAAAAACTGGTATACCTGACTAATATCGTGTAGGGCCCACACGAGCACGCAGAAGTGCCGCAACACGACGTGGCATAGATTCGATCAATGCGTGAAGTAGTGCTGGAGATAATTGACACCCTGAATCCTGCAGGGCTGTCCATAAACCGTGGGAGTAAGAGAGGGTGGGGATATCTTCTGAACATCACGTTGCAAGGCATCCCAAATGTGTTCAATAATGTTCACGTCTGGGAGTGGATCCAAGAGCACTCTTCTGAATTTAGACACTTCCGCTGGCCACCAAAATCCCCAGACATGAGCCTCGCAACGTGATGTTCTGAAGATATCCCCACCCCCTCTTACTCCCACTGGTTTATGGACAGCCCTGCCGGATTCATGGTGTCAGTTATCTTCAGCACTTCTTCACACATTCATCGAATCCATGCCACGTCGTGTTGCGGCACTTCTACGTGCTCGCGGGGGTCCTACACAATATTAGTCAGGTGTACCAGTTTTTTTTTGGCTGTTCAGTGTATATATTATCATGTAGAAAGAATTGAATTTAATCTTGAAGTCAAATAGATTTATGACATACTTCTTGGATATACTAGAAAAGCATGAAGTTGTTGTAGGTAGTTGAAGTAGAAGTAGTCATAGGCCAATTTGAAAATCCGGGGCTCTTTGCAAATTGCCGACGTCTTTTGTTAGGCTTATTGCAGGGAATCTTGTTGACGGATCGCATAGTAATGTCGATAGTTTGGAATCGATAGTTTGAAATGATGTCGGGAAATATTTTATAAAATTCCGGAACATTCCATTTAAATTATAAATAAAATCTTGAATTTTATTTGCACGTATTTACATGTTTAGGACAACTCGATTAAAATTGGAATGACCTTGGAGGATAGAACTCGGAACCTCAGACTTAGCCGATCCTCAACTGCTCCACCAGACAGAAACACTTTACGTCATTATTGACGTAAAATAGTTTAAATGTATAAAATCATTTTTTGATTAAACTGGTATGCTTTAAATATAGAGGTCTTTAACCAGTATTGCTGTTTTATGTAACTGCAATTGTCAAACGAATATTGAATCCCTTTTATGACTTTTGAATCAGATTAACTAAGTTTACCCAGCTCAGTTAACTCAGCTTAACTAAGTTTTAGATTAAGCCAATTAAGATTTCATACTTTCAATATTGAAATCAAAAATTACATGCATGCCCATTTAAACATGCCACACGCAATTGTTTTCTTACCATGATTATTGACCGAATTTATTTTAAAAGAATAGTTATTTCGTATAAATAGTTAAAAGTAGACTAGTAGCTACATGACGAGCATAAGTCTCCGGTCTGCATATTTTTGTAACATTTTACAGTTTTTCGCTTTTTGTGCATTAAACTTTGAAAAAAGATTATAAGACTTTTAAAAGATGTATATAAAACTGTATTATGATAAAAACACAATGCTGCTTAAAAAAATAAGCTTCATTTTATTATTTATTATTGTCTAATAAGAAATAAATAATAAATTGGCAGAAAACTATTGCACGCCACGCATTTCGCAATTTAAATTTTTTAACTTTAATTAAAAAAAATATCAGACAAAATAAGGGATTAGTTTTAAGAAAATAAATTTCAGTTTTAAAAAACAAGAATCTGACAAGAATTTGAAAATTCAATCAGACAAGAATTTGAATTACAAATATTATCTTATTCTATTATGTAAAATAATTTTGTTAGTTCTATTTAGTTTTATAAGCCTACATTAAAATAAAGAGATAATTTGGTTTACATAATTTAGTAATAATAATACACTGAGGACAAAAGTATGGTCAAAACTACCAGTATATGGTAAAATTTATTCTGTTTCTGGCTCTATGGAAACACTAAGAAGCTCAGTAATTTTTACAGAAGCACTTTGGTAATAATATTGGTAAAAATAATTATAAAGTATGACTTTATAATATGCGATAAAATTTGGTAATTTTATCGTAATACCTTAAAACATGACATAAAAACTATTTATTCAATAAAATTTACTTTTCAGTGTTGAATTTTTTACTAAATGTGTGATAAAACGAACTATAATTTTGAAAACCAGAATTTTTAGTAAAGCGTCACCATATGAGCGAAAAAGTTACCAAATAAATGGCTTAAATATCGTATATTTTAGTTTTGTTAACCAGAATTATATATTTTTTACAAGAAATGTCTTTACCATACAGTACGATAATTTTACCATATTTTTTTTTCTCAGTGTATAAATATAATTAAATTAACATGATAAAAATAATTTTATAGTTCTACTAAAATTAATGAATGTAATGTTATGCTATTAAGTTATGTAATTAAATAAATTATGTAATTAAATAAGTTATGTAATTAAATAAAGAAGCAATAAGATATTTAATATTGTATTAAATTTAAACTAAAAGCTAATAAACTATTTAGTGCCATTGTAACGTATTCTTGCTTGTAAAATTTGATTTTATCTCTCAGATTCAAGTTATTGGTGCTATTAAGCACGATAGCTTAGGTTAAAAGGAATAGAGCTTGGTCATACAAAGATGAATCTGTAGAAAATGTGGTATTAAAACTACTTCTAAATTTTTTAGGTTACTCTTCATGAAATGTGGCACAATCCCGTTCTGCGGACTCCACTTCTCATTTCTGTCATGGTAATGCTGGCTCAACAATTTTCAGGTATCAATGCAGTAAGTAATTATTTTTTTACTCCTATTTTTAAGTTATAAATGAATAAACAATAACAAAAGCGTGAATAATTTTTTTTATCTAATGGTCGCACTAACATACAATCTTAATAGTTCATAAGGTAATCTAAACTTTGCTAATTAAGTAGTAGAGATTTTAATTTATGAAACTGGGAAATAAACATACTTTCTTTTAAAATGAACAGAACTTTTTTTTGAGGAACAAAATTTAAAAAAAAACGGATTCAAATAGTTTAGTTAGACTTTTTTGCACATTTTTATTGTGTCTTTGAATAGAATTTTGCACACAAATCTAAAACTTATACATTCAATGAAACAAAAAATATATTTTTTAATATTATTTCTTATTCAATTTTATAGCGATCAAGAACTTTTTAATTATACATTTTTACATTATTTCAAGCATTCTAATTTTAAATGATAAATACAAATTTTGATTGAAATAAGTTAAACAGCCTATGATCAATAAAACTTCGAAAAAGTCGTATTTTTAAACTATCACTATTTGAACTACTTCGACCAAATTTCGACCAAAAGATTTCATATTTTTAAATGTTTGAATTTTTTGTTATTTCTAAATACATAGGTATATAATATTCCTCCCAACGCCTGTGGTTTATATTTATGAAAATAAAAAGGCAAATCAAATTATAAGTGTCCATTTGCTTATTTTTATTTAAAATTGTTTAAATTGTTTCGGATGGATCACTTTCCCCTCTCTTTTCTACAATTTAATAATCATTCGTTATTAATTATTTCATTTGTATTTTCTGCCTAAAACAAAACTGATGTTTCATTTAATACATTAATTTAGTATGCTTTACAGTCAAATCAGAATCGTTAGCTTCATGCATACGGAAGAATGGTTGAAAATATTTTATTGCTTAATAGTTATAAGTATTACCGTTAAAATGTAGAATATCAGTTATCCTGTATATAATCTAGCTAATGTGCAGATCAACTAGAGTGATACGCTAAATTTCTCAAATTACTAAGGTAATCTATAAACTACATAGATAATCTGCACATTAAGCAGTCATATACTGAAAATAAAATCATATCGCTGGAACAACGGCAACGTTTCTGCGCGCTTAAAATAACGTAATGTTATAGATTTTTCGCTAACTAAAATATCAAGTAACTACCATCAAACAACCAACAAAGTAGATGATAGAATCAATCATCAATTAATTTAAAAACTATAATATCAAGAATAAAATGGTTTATATCATTACTACAATTAAGAAAACAAAATATTATTTAATTATAATTACTTAAGTTATAATTATTTAATTTATAATTATTTTTCGCTATCTATAAAATCAAGTTACTACCATCAAACAATCAACAAAGTAGATGATAAAATCAATCATTAATTAATTTAAAACCTAAATTATAAAGAATAAAATGGTTTAAATTATTACTACAACTAAAAAAACTAAATATTTTTTATTATAATTATTTAATTTATAATTATTTTTAGCTATCTAAAAATCAAGTTACTAACATCAAGCAAACAACAAAGTAGATGATAGAATCAATCATCAATTAATTTAAAAACTAAAATATCAAGAATTAAACGGTATAAAATATTATTACAATTAAGGAAATTAAAATAATGCCATTTATTCACTTTTCAATGTCTAAAGAACCAAGTCAAAACAGTCATTAAATGAATTCACGGGGGTAAAATGTTCTGGTAAAATTATCATACTGTATCGTAATGACATTTCTCATAAAAAAGAAAATAAAAGACAATTCTGGTTAATAAAACCAAAATATACGGTATTTAAACCATACATACATGATAATTTTTCCTTTCATATAGAAACGGTTTACCGGAAATTCTGATTTTCATAATTATAGTTCTTATTACCATACATTTTATAAAAAATACAAAACTGAAAAGAAAATTTTACCAAATATACGGTTTTTATGTCATGCTCCAACGTATCATGTTAAAATTACCAAATTTTACCGCATATGTCGAATTTTATCGCAAATTATAAAACCATATTTTATTGCTCATTTCACCAAAGTCATAACCAAAGCTCTATGGTATTCCATTAGAGTCAGTAACACGGTAAATTTTAACATATTCTGGTAATTTTGACTTTGCCTTTTTCTCAGTGTTGATAGAATGAGAAAAACAAAATTTTGAACTTTAACGATATTGAAGTCGTTAATGTGCACATTATCAAGGTTAAGTGCGAAAAGTACTTCATTCCGCACTTTGATGGAGCAAATCTCTTATTCTTGTAATGTGCATTTAAATTGTTTTCGAGCATTAGCGATAACATCAGCACTAATTAAGTATTGCTTTTAAATATTTTATAGGCCATATTTTTCTCGACCGACATATTTCTAAGTGCCGGATTAACAGCGGAAAAAGCTTTGAATGCCACATTAGGAATGGGCAGCATTAATGTAGTCATGACTATCGTATCTCTTGTTCTAATAGAACGAGCCGGAAGACGAACTCTTCTCCTGACTGGATTAGCGGGCATGATGGTCATGACTATTCTCTTAACCATATGTTTAGCTTTTCAGGTAAGTTCAATTCTATTCCATGTAACACAAGGAAAAAAAACTATGATAGACAGAAAATAAAAAATTAAACAGGAATAAATAAAAAAAAACTCATCCTCAAGTAATTTTACAATAATACATCACCAAACCATAGCCAAGCCCCTAGTCCCATATTAAGGCATTTATCTTTTTTTTGTCGTATGCCTGTTTAGACAGTGGGGGTGCGATTGTTCCTGTTTTTCGGTGGCGCCATCTATGACCAGGAATTCGACTTCTGCCACGCCATTCACACAACCACAACCCGTTTATAGGGCGGGTCACATTCACACATTCGCACCCACAAAGGAGAGAGGACATAGAGCACACAGAGAAAGAAAGAAACATCCATGCCTTGCCCGGGATTCGAACCCAGGACCTTTCAGATGCAAGGACAGTTCCCTGCCCCTTACGCAGACCGGTCGGCCAGCCTGAACTGGTACACTTCTCTCCAAACTTCCATTCAACTACGACAGATTTGATATGCAACTTGATGCCAACACACACACACGTTGTTTATTCGACTACCTGGATCAAACTCACGATTAGCAAAAAGCACGATCCTGCTTTTAGCTAATCGTGATGAATGAATAGGTATTCGATTTGAGTTGTTTTTACCGACCAGTTCCGAGTCACCGTTCGCTCGGGATCCACTATTCGATTTCGCTTCTTTCCGCTATTTCGAATTTCTTTCTTTTTAGGAAACACATTATTCTGTTCTTTTAGTGAGCAATGTTACATGAAAAAGAACAAAATGGAAAAAAAAATTTATGTATCTGCTATCAATATAGAAAAGCAAAAGCGAACATCATTTATTTTTATTTTCTTTATGTACATAAAGCAAACTTTTGTTAGCAACCATCGGCCACGTTATCTTCGCCCTTACGAAAGTTAGGTTTTTCAGCTATTTTTTAAGAATCCTGTCTCCCACTTCAGAAGGATCCTCTTTATGATGACCAGAAATCTTACTACACATCATGACTAATTACAACTGAAATCAATATTCAATGTTATAAATGACATCAAAAGCTGATACACGCTTTAACACTTGAGTCTCTTTTATTACTATTTTAATGTTAAATGCTTGATTATCTCTTTCAACTCAACGGGCGAAATAACTCGTCTTCCAAGAATATTCTCTGTGCGCGAGAGACGAGATAGCTCGTACTCTACATGCGATTTTTCTATATTATTGCAGCGTGTCCAGTACGAATTTACAAACAAATTTTAAAGGAATTCGTGTTTTGTTTCAATTTTAGCGCTGCGGGGAAACTCTTAAAGCAGAGGGGGAGGGACAAAGGCGCGCTATTGCTGCGATGAAAGTGTTATAAAAACAAGCTCGCTATGATGGCAATAACATCTACTGTTATGAATTATCGCTGCGCTAAAACAAGCTTTTACTACATTACTTAATTCTTAACCCCTTCTACTGTAAGATCTAAATGTAACTGATAATCAGCTGCATCAGTAACTGATTTTAAAAGAAACTCCCCATCTCTAGTTTCTAATAAGCACCTTTCACACCTCGCCGCAGTTTCCTTTGGCCTTGGCCAAAGAATACCTATCCTTGTTTGCCATGCCTTTGGCAATCGGAGAGATTTTGATGTTTTTAATCTTGCCATCATTTATGGTCATATGTCGGATTCACGTCCTCATTTTAATAATAATTTGTGAACCTTGATGCCTGTATTTTTTTACTATATGTCCTAAAAATAATATTTATTGAAGACAATAATTGCAGAGCCCCTTTTATTTACAAAATATGTCATTTTTTGAAAATTAAATATTCTGTTAAGAATAACCAAATTACCATAAAACAAAGAGCATCTTACATGTATAATATCTTTGTTTTATAGTTGCTTTTAATTGATATTATTTAAATCGATTTTTTTTCTTCAGAAATCCGCACCATGGCTATCATATGTCAGCATCATTTGTGTGATAACATTTGTGATAATGTTTGCCATTGGACCTGGTGAGTTGCTCTCTAATTAGTTCATAATTGACTTAAACAAAAATTGTGATCAGTAAAAAGCTTTTTCAATTTGATTACCATTGCAATCAGGGCTAAAGACAATAGAAGGGCTAGTTCACTCCGCTCTTAGAGCTGAAGCTACGATTTCCCTCCTCATGACGCCACTGCGTCCACAGATCTCGGAAGATCGCAAGCAAAGATATTATGATAACTTTGCATCTTTCTCTTTGTAAAAATAAGTTAGAAAAATGATATTGCTGCTCAATTACAGCCCACTTAAATATGTTATTTTCTGGAATCGTTCTTAAATACTCTTTGTATAATCTTTGTACGTTTCAAAGAGTGATTCGCCAATTTTTAAAGGAAAACGAAAACATTTTGCAATCTTTAATTATTCATATAAATACTTAAAATTATATTCTCANTCTTTTATAACGATAAGTTGAGTTAAATTTAGAATCCCCGGTTTGGATATGTCGTTAATAGCAATTTGTTCATACTTAATCATTAGGAAACATCAACCTTAAACGCTAATTACTGAAACAAAATAATAATTTAGGTTCATAGTGACATTAGAAATTTTACAATTGTTTATAGATATTTAAATTTAAGATCATATAATTTATAGATATTTAAATTTAATTTTTAAAAGAATCATAAATATTTAGAATAACTACATTAAAAAAATAAGTTATGAAATTAGGAGAATTTCTACTGTACACTATATATTTTATTTATACTTTTTACTTACGTTTTATTTTTATTTTTGAAGTAACGAGGCGGTTTCTGTTTAGATAACGAATTTTTATAAAAGTTCTTAACGATAGAAAAAACGTATTGCTGTTTTATATTAACTGTGTCATTTCGGAATCCATTCTTTACATAGTTGTTCATTTACTTTAGGGAACACGTGGAAAATTATATTTTTTCCTGAATTTTTGCAAGTTGCAATCGTGCAAACTGGCATTTCGTTAATAGTTTTAAAATTTTGTAAATTCGCGGCAAAAACTGAGGTAAGTCATTATAGAAAATAACAAATGTCTTAGAATATGTCACAAAAAAATGCTCCAATATTAGTTAGAGCTAGTAAGGCCGAACGCTCTGTTCTTGAAGTAAAAGGGCGAGCTTTGCGCCAAAGTGACGTCACTAGAGAAAATCGGAGGATTGGCGCGGCGAGAGTTTCTTCAAAGGAGTGAACCAGCCCTTCTATTCTCTTAAACCCTGATTGCAATTTTTAACAATTCTGTACTCTTTTTAAACCTATACACTTATGAAAACTCAAAGGTTCTGATTAAAAATTTCTTTCAGTTTAAAATAACATTGCCAAAATCTTTGCTTAATCTTTTCTTGTAAAAAGTATTGAAAAGAGACAGTGGAATAATTTTTTACCTGTTGCATGAGATATTAGTATCGGTGACTTCAAATTTGTAATCGATTTCATTCTCCAAGCAGCAGATTTTTTATTAATCTATTTTTTGTTGAAATATGCAAGTTTAAAAACGTTATCTATATCACAGAGTTGCATAAATGCAACAAACTTTCGAGGGAGTTAAGACACATCATTAGGATTAAAATTGCACAGGAATCCCTGTCCGAAAATATCGTCCTATGCCGCTAAGAATTCTTTGCTATTATGAACTGTTTCTTCGAACAGGTCATTATAGGGAAGCGCCCCTTGCCACGTACAACGACATATCGGGATATGGGTTCTTATGTAATTTTTAATTCTGATGATGTGTCCTGACTCTCCTAGAAGTTTGTAACAATATTTATGGTACTCTATGCTTTATATAACCTTTTTAAATTTGTGCATTTCAACAAAAATGGACTAAAATTATCTTTTTGAAAAAAAAATACATAGGTTTAGGAGCCCAACTAATTTTAGATTTGAAAACCTCACACCCGAATTAGGCAAGATTATGTATTTGTATAAATGCAACAAAAAATTCGTCTCCCAGTGCAATAGTTTACAAATTTTTGAGTTTGGTAATTTTGCGAATTGCGATATCTGATACATTTTTTGTAAGCTGGATTGATCAAAAACGGGAAAGCAAATAAAATCAAAAACCCAGCACTTTTGACTGACTTTGGTTTTGCATTCCGTTATCATTTATCAGAAATGATATGAACCAAGTTGCATACATTCACCATGCTATTTGGAGATGCACACAAAAAAACTGTAGACTGTTAGTTTGTTGACAACACAATTGTGAAAAATTTGATTTGAAAAATGCTAAAGAAAAACGAAGAAAAAAACGTAAGTGCTTTACAATAGATTACGAAGAAAGCTCGAAAACTATTATCTTTCCCTTACTAAAACCATCAACGCTGAAATTGAATTTCATATAACTGCTAAGAAAAAAAATTGATTTTCGAAATTCGAGTCTACTGTCAATACTAATTTTAAATCACACTCTAATATACTAACTTAGAGGTTTGAATTTGCCGAAATATTTCTACAGACAATAGTTTAGTTAAGTCAGACACAAGAAAGTACTATCTTTATATAAAAGTGCCTGTCCTCAACGATTTTGGATTCTTGACCTTCAAAGAATAGAGGGCAGTTGCAATTTGAAAAAAATGGTCTCAATAGTTCAGACTTGAAAGCTGCAAAATTCTTGGAATCCTTAATGTTAATTTCCCATTTTGCGTATTTCACCATATCTTTGGAACTATGTAAAATCATCAAATCATTTTTTCACATGTCTATAAAACTCATTTATCTAAAGATCTTCCTAAAAAGTAAATACTTATAAATTATTCATTGTATTTCTTTACTTATTCTTAAAGACAGTCAAAATATCTTTTGAACTGACTTTTTTATTCTATTCATCTTGAAAAAGAGAAATTGATATTATTGAGACCATATTTTGAGGATCAAGAATTTAAATTTGTCAACAACAATAAAAGGCATGTTTATTCAGCGAAATTAAGTTTATTTGTCTGATTTCGTAACTCAAATTATTGCTTGCAAAATTATTTTAACCTATTTAAGGTTAGTAAATCAGACCATTAAGGCATTTTAGTACATTGTAAGTAGATTGTAATTTTCTGTTTAGTAGATTGAAATAATTTAGTAGATTTAGTAGATTGTAATAATCTGTTTGCTAGATCAAGAATTGTTAATGTCTTCCATTTTTTATTTTGCTCATCGTACATTTATACTCTACATTATTTTATTTCAAATATACTTTTTTATGCTTCTTTATGGGGCAATATAATCTGTTTTTCATCTTCGAATTTTAGGTTCCATTCCATGGTTCCTGGTGACTGAATTATTCGGACAAGGAGCACGACCCATCGCGACAAGCATTGCTGTCACTGTAAACTGGAGTGCGAATTTCATAGTTGGTTTAGGATTTTTACCATTACAGGTAAAACAAAAATTTTCTACTTGTCCTAATTAATGTTTTAACCCTTTGATGCAGATGGGTCACCAGTTTCCCTTTTATATATCTTCTTTTTGACGATATAATTAAAAGCAACTATATATTTTGATATTTATTAATTATAGAAAACAGTCTAATAGATAAAACAATCTGTCAGATTATCGGAATTAAATGCGTACTAAAATATACAATCCGAAAGAAGTGCTTTAAAAAAAATTTTTTTTTTTTTATTCAGATTCAAAAATTTAACAATAATTGATTTTAAAAATTAAAGAAATTTCAATGACGAATAACTGTTTCTCTTAGATCTAAATAACTGTAAATAAGTGGAAATTTGAAAAATTATTGTTTGGCAGAAAGCCATGTTTTGAAGATTTTACCTTTAACGCAAAAACAGACACTGGTGTTTCATACTGTATTTCATATTTATAAATTGTAGAAATGCTAAAATTATATTATTTTGACTTTATTTAATGCAAAATAAAGAAAAAAAAGTATGAAAAGTATCTTCAATAAAAATTCAAGCATTGCTGTCACTGTTAACTGGAGTGCGAACTTCATAGTACACACTCCAGTTGTTTAAGAATTTTTACTATTACATGTGAAACAAAAATTGCTCACTTTTAATACGTAATGAAATAATTATTTAATAATAAAATCTAAAAAAGTAGCTGTAAATTTTTTTTTCAATATTTAAAAAATTGTTAAGAGTTAATTTCGTAAATTAAAGTAATTTTAATGAACAATAACTGTTTCTCTTAGATCTTAACAGTAATTGTAGCGATTTCTGGCAACTACTTTTAACGTTAATTTAGAAAAGAAACAGGGTTCTAACGCAACTAATTTTTCGAATTTGATGGGATCTAATCTTCGTGGGTCTATCAATAGATGCAACGAAAATCTTCCTGTGGCTGCCACTGAAGCGTTAACAGAAATTACGTATTTAAAATCACCTATAAGTGATATTTAAATTAGCCATTATAAAAAATAGATTATCACTTTAGTCACACATCCACATGTGAATGCACACTGTGAAACATAGATGTTATTTCAAAGGAAAGAAACTTGTTTTACTTAATTTCTTAGAGGAAATAATAGAGCATTAAACAATTAAAAAATTGTAAGCATTTGATAATTTCGCATTTCTTAAAATAAATATTCTCTCACGAAAAAGGCATAAAAGTTGAAGGTTAAATGAACAAATTCAAAAAATATGTTTCGGGATAACAAACTGGCTCATGTAAACCTGAACTTAATTATTCTCTTATATTTAATGCAAGCCAATTTCTTAATCAAAACCACTTTGAACATGAGTGTAAGTTAAGTTCTCCAGAAAAGTTTGTCTCATTAAAGTAATGAAGAAGTTAAACTAAATTCCAAAGTAGTTTGCAGTCACTACATTTAAAAAAACTATTTTTAGTCAGTGGCGTAGTTTTAATGTAAGTTCAAGGGGGGTCATCTGTTCCTTCTAATATATATATATATCAACCCCCCCCCCCAAAAAAAAAACTACACCACTGGTTGTAGTTAACTACATTTGTAAAAAAGTAGTTGCAGTAAAATACAAAAAGAATGTAGTTTTTCCGACCATTGGATTCACCTATATAATCTACGCTTTCAAAATAATTAAACCACCCATAAAAATATTATATTGTATTTTAATTTAAAAAAAAAAATGCGTTCCGAGATATTTGTGGCAAAAATTTATACTTTTTCCTTATATAATTAGCATTATTATAGAAAAGTTGGATGCGTAGTATAACAGTTGGTCAATATTTTTTAGAATATGTGAACCCTTTCCAATATGGTACTTAATTTCACATTTCAGAAAAAATAAGTTTTTACGCTTATGTAACTGCAAAACATATAATCTCAGGATCATAAGAAATATTTATATTAAACTGCACATTACAAGATATACCCTAACTAAAATAAAAAAAATAATAATAATTGGTTGCAGGATATCTGTACTAGAAATTTAGAATTTTTTGATATGGTATCATCATTAGCTTAGAAAAGTCGGTTGCAAGAAACGTCTTATGTCATTATTTTTTGAAATGCAACAATATTACAACATTATGCTTAACGTTACAATTAAACATATCTTTGATAGAAAAGTTTTATTTTTAATTATGTAATTGTAATTATGTTATTGAAATATACTCTTAAAGTAAATTGAAATATTTAAATTGCAAGTTAAAAGATTATCCATTAAATAGAAAATATTCGGTTCAGAGATATTTAAGCCAAAAATTTGCATTTTCCTTCAATTGAGGTAGCATTAATATAGAAAAATAAAACAATTGCACACTTTAATATCATGATGTTAATATTTTTTTAGAAAATTTAATACACATTTCATCATAAATGAATGTAATGCTCTTTTTTTAAAATTTATTTCAATAAAGAATTTAAAAACATTCTCTTTTACAACTATAATTTTTTCAATAATTTCATTAAAAAAAAATTCTAATTGTGTTGTTTATTACAGAATGTGATGGGCGTGTACACCTTCTTAATATTTACGGCTCTCTTGGCTATGTTCTGGATGTTTACATATAAATATGTTCCTGAAACGAAAAACAAAACAGTTGAAGAAATAACTGCTATCTTCCGACAAAAGGCTTATCAGTGAGAATTCTGCAAACAATGTAGCAGTCACATAGAGAGTATATTCAAATTAAATCTATCAATGTCATATTAGATATTACTGTATGTATTCATAGTGACTGAGATTGGCATTCAAATGCTGATCCAAACAAATGTTTCACTTTAACTTATATCTCACAAGTTTTATCTACTGTGTTAAAGTAAGACACATTATACTTACTTTTAATTCGTGATACTCATTATCCATTAGTTCATTAAAATTCAAGTAAAATAACTCACTGTTATTGTTGTAAAACTCTTGAAAATATATGTGGATAAAAATTGTGTAACGTGATGTGAAATGTGTAACATGTTCGTTGCATACTTATATAAAAATCAATGTTGAGTCAATAAACTTAATTGTTAGTTTTTATTTTTATAAAGCGGAGAGTATTTTAATTTACCCGACTATTATAAAATAATATTTATTTAGCTTTATAGCAAAATAATTTTAAATTAAATTAATCTGTTTAATTTATTAAATATGTATTATTTTGAAGATACTTTAATGAATTTGAAGTCAAATAGAATTACTCAAAACTGAACTCTTTCATTCCCTAAACGTGTAGATTTATATTTTCAAAATAAAAATTGAAAATTATAATTTTAGTTGAATTACGTGATTTATGAGGTTATGACAGATTAAGACACTGCAAGTTGTGTTCGTCCACAAGATTATACTGATATGCCACAACTGCTGACAATTTTTAATCATCATTTGTTTCCCATTATGGGGACTAAAGAGATTAAAGCTCATATTTATTTATATCGAAAGTGAAAATTTTGAGAGCATCAAAATTAATATAAAGTGTTCTCAAGTGTCATGAAAAATATGAGCAATTTGCCTTTCTTAGAGTTAATGACCATGTGCTGCGTTTGGGCAGAAAATATGTCATCTTCCAAAGAAGTTGAACACAGATCTTTCAAATGAGAAGAAATTTTATTTTCGAGATGTGGCCAAATATATTGACTAATAAGAAAAGTGCGTTTTAGGAGGCACATGAAAGTTGTGTTTGGATATGTGGTTTGGTTAAAGAGCAGTAGTATTTAGATGATAATACCTTAAAATGTGTTCTAAGAAATTGACGATTGCATTCCTGGTGAAAACTCATGAATCAATGTCATTTCTAAGGCACACACAGTCACAGTTTGAGTTTCTTTTAGGCATTTTAGTGTTCACGAACGTACTGTTTACCTTATCCAACACTAGTGTTAGGACAAAATATCAAATAATATCAGAAGATTTTTCCTAATCCGAAGAAATCAAGTATTATGATAATAATAAAAAGTTAAGTAAAAAAAAAACTGATTTTTTTTTTCATTTAATTTCTTTATAATGATCAATTAACAAAAATCTAATAACCGTCACTTTCTTAGCTATACACAACATAAATTATTAATATAAGTTCATACAGATACCCATAGCAAAAACATATCTTAAGAGAAACATATAAAAATGTTTCAAATATGCCAGAACTATATTTAAAAAGAAAAAGAAAGGAAAAGGATATATATTTTTATACACTCTAGATTCATGTATACAGATGAAGCCCAATTATAACTCCTGGAAATAAGTTTTTGTTTTTAAAATACTGTTATAAAAATAAAATATCTATTACTCGAGACTTAAAGAAAAATCTTTCAAATTTTATCATGGCTCTTTTAAGTTTTAGATAAAATTTTATAGCTTTTAAAATAAATTTTAATTAATTAGGAAAACTTTTAACAATTATTTTTATTAAAACAATTTAAATAGAAATCTTATTACTCCATTACATTTTAGTAAAAATTATGTGTTCGTTATTTATAAAAATTTATATTGATAATCATGAGCTTGAAAGTGTCACTCTTCTGAAGCCATGCAAGATGAATATGCCTTTTGGTAATTAGTGAAAAACGTTAAGCCAAAGAAAAGATATTAACTGTATTTGTGACGCATCAGTTTGAATGGTTAGCATGACAAAATGGATAAAATGCAATATTACAACTTCTTCAGAGTGACTGTGTGTGCTGGAGACTTAATACAATTTCAGTCAAGTAAAAAAAAGAGATGTTTGGAAAAAATATCTATAGTTGAAAGTTATATGTTTGATTACTGTTATTTTCTAGACATTGTTGTACAGCTTTTGTTTTCTAGAATATGAAGTATTTACACGCATGCACATACCTAAACTGTTTGTTTTGAATATTCTGTAGCCCTCCATTGCCTAGATTTATATTAATGAACAGGAACTGGTTGATACTGGAAGAAATAAAACAATTGTGAAATGTACAAAAATGGTGCTTTTTTTGTTTACATAGAGCAGTAATTCCCAAATGTTGTTCTTTAAATATATATTCAATATAGATTCTTCAATATAGGTTCCTTAAATATATATAATATAGGTTGAAAACAATGTTAGCAAGCAATAGTGATTTGATATGCAGTTTTAGGATATAATTTTTATGCTGATCTAAAATTATCTTAAACGAGTATTTTCCAAATAAGACTAATTAAGAATATTGCTGTTGAGATTAAAATCCCAGTAAAATCATTTAATTGTCAGCAATAACAAATAACATTATCAATAAGATTCACTTATTAATTCTAACTGCCATTGCTTCTTAAACCATTGCTCTGTATTTTTAGTCAATTGGTTTGTTAAAGATTGCGAAACAAATCTGGTATTCTCTGCCAGCATATTTTAGGGTAAAAGTTAACTACAACTATCAGTCATGGAATAAATTTTCAAAATGCATTATAATCTAATAAATATGATCTATAATTTAGTAATTTATTTTATTATCATTTCAAAATTAAAGAATTGTTCCTCAGTTTGAAGAACAACATTAAAAAGTTTGGTAGAAAAATTATTTCGGGAACTACTGCTCTGGTGAAACTTAATGATAGGATTTGTCAGAAATTCCTATCATGAACCATGAAGTTTGTTCAAATTTGATGTAATATATGAATAACAAAGCATAAAATTCATATGTATTGCATTTAATCATTCATTGTGTGTCTGCAAGATGAAATCACAGAAAAAAATCACGCAGAGTGGCCCGTGAACTCATAAAATCTTTAAATAAAATTAAAAACGATCTAGAACAAATAACAAATTTAAATTACAGAACATTGAAATAAAAAGGGATATTCAGCTAAATTCATAAAACTAGAGACAAATTTTGATAATGAAAAGTGCATAAAACTAATGTCATATATGTGAACTAATTGAAAGATTTTACGTGCTCAATGTTTTTCGTAAGCACTTTTCACTGGTGGGATGAATATATCGCATGGTACCAGATGCTAGGCACCCGACTGTGCCTTAGACAAATCATCATAATTGCTAGACGGGCAATATAAATATTGGAACTTGCTGCGTGATCATCACAATACCTTTGGGAATAGAACTTTTGATCCTGTTGGTTATTTAATTTTATCCAATTTATTATCTTGTCTCTGTTTCAACAAAGAATGGCAGAAAAGCAATTATTCAGCCAGCGCCATCAATTAACTAAGTGACAACAAAATTAAAATAATCAAAATTACACTTTGTACACTAGAAAAAATACTCATTATAAATATTTTATTTTTGCACAGTGTTATTTAATTTTAAATCAATTGTGTCTTATCAGCTTTCTGGCTTGTTTTTCTTGCTTAAAAAGTATTTTTCATAAGATACGTAATTATTTTTTAATACGCATTAAGTGATAATGTACATTTGTTTTTGTTATGTGTAACACATTGTATCTTATTTACATTAGAAGAAAAAATGAAGCACATGAGAATGAATGTAAAAATGAGTGCATACATATGCTAATAATGTAAATGGGTTACTTGAGTGGTATTTTAATTTAAACTTATTAAGATTCAATATTTTTTATATGACAAAGTGTTTACCGGCCACTTTGTATGCCTTCCATCAAAAACAAAGAGTAAATAAGGGTGCTATGGACATGGTCCTTTTAGTAAAATTTTAAATTAAAAGCTCATTAAAATATTATGTCCACACAGAATATGCAATTATTAATGCATTGCAGAAGTACTGTATTGAGTAAATGCGCCTTTACATTACTTCTAACTTAAAAACTGATGTCAAAAAAGAATGTCAAAACAAAATTAGTCTATATTCTTCAAATGCTGCAAGCTGTTATAATAAGCACACATTTAAAAATGAAAGTTTTTAAATTAAAATGGTATCAAAGCTTTATTATATGAGAAATGTTTAAGCATGATATTGTGAATATAAATTATTTGTATGTATATCTAAGAAGTCATTATCTGCTGTTGTTTTGAAATAAAACTAAAAAAACAAAACTTAGTACTAATTTTCTTTGTCTTCTTAAAAACACTATGAAACAAAACACAGAACTGAAATTAGGGTAAAAACTGCAGATTTATTTTTAATAAATTATTAGTTTACCCAACTTAAGACATTCTTTCCCAACAAAAAATCAGAAACAAGAAATTCTCAGTCGATTAATAAGAACTCTGGTTAAATTAAACATACAATTGAAATAAACTCATTCCCTCAATTTATTTGGGCTATGCTACATCATGAGACCAAAGAATTAATAGCAGTTTTTTTCTGCACAAGATGCTCTTTCACTGACAAATCTTTCTTTTAAAAAATTAGTTTCAAAATTCCTAAAACTTTAATGAAAAACACCAATTTCCTTTACAAAAAAATTTTTGTTTACTTTTTTCTTAGACTTTACTCAATCAATTCAAATTTTGGAATACAACATATAATACAACTTAACGTAATGTAAATTTTTTTGTCTTAAAATTCAATTTTTTTTATATTTATTCAATTAGGAACAAAAACATAAAAAAATTATAAATTTTTTTTTCCGTGTAATCTACTTAAGTAAACAAGTTATAATTAATAGGGTAAATTTTTGCCTACAATCATAAAATTGGGAAAAAATAATAAAAATCAACTTTAAGCTTCCTCTTATTTGATCAATATTAATCTAAACTAATTAGGTAACTTTTTTTAGATTACATAAATGATTTTTTAGACACATTTTGATATTATAAAAATGTGTCTGAAAAAGTTAAGTTGAAAAAGTTATTTTGAGAAAATATGGTTTGAGTCCGATTTTATAATTTGAGCAGAATTTAGCACTAATATATTGTTATATCTTTATAGGAGCATTCCAATTATTATAACCTTTTGTTTTCTTAATTTTTATAGATGATCATTTTATTGAATGTTCTTTTAAAATATCTTTCTAGCCATATAAATAAAATATTAAATATTTTTACTCAGTTTAAAATAAAATTATAGGATGAACATACCTATTGAAAAAATAATTATTTTACTATTTTAAAAATCATTTTTCAGATTATTAAAAGTATCATATATTAAAAGAAATTGATTCACAAGTCTAAACTAATCAATCAATTTTTAGAAGTAATAATAATGCCCTTAATGACTAACTGTTAAATATTATCAATTTAAAGACACACAATTAAACTTAAAATTTTCTTATAAATACATTTACAACTAAAGTGACAAAAAAAAACTGAAAATTATTAAGCTTAATACAATACATATCTAAATGTACATTAATATGATTGAACACCTTAATAACTAATTTTTGACCTACTATGCCATCTGGGACAGACAGCCCTTAACATCCTTCCCTTATTTATAATTTAAGTTACAAGATAAAATAAGCAAATAATATTAAATAATTATAAGTGCTTTCAATTATGGAAGTACCCAATATAGCTGTTTCAATTGAGTGAAATTCATTCATTCATAAATTAATGGAATAAACCTTTGTTTATGATGGTCGCAAAATTGTATTATAAACTTTATTATACCTTCCCTCATTATAAAATATTAATTATAATATTATTAATAAACTGCAAAATGAAATAATTCACACCTACAAAATTAATAAATATAAATGCAACATGTTTAATATAAAAAGTAAATTCATCAAATTTATTTGATACTCTACAAGAATGAATGAAAAATATGTGCAGTAAAAATAGTTTCATGTAAATAGTTATTAATAATATTTTCTCTAAACGTTATTTACACAGAGATTCATTAATCTTCTAAATTTTAACTTCCCATATAATAACATTTGCATCTAGATATTGTTTTGGTGTTTTTTCTGGTTTTCGCCAATTAATATAATCACAACCACCAGTTAACATAAGTATTGTCTTTGGAGTTGAGTCAGTTTTCTTGTTTGATTTGGAAATCTCACGTCTTAACGTAACATGAGTAGGTAAACAACGAAAGTCTTCACTGTGCCTCTGCACTGGTTCATCAGTTGTAGAATTTCTAGATGGTGTAGTGGCTGTAGAAGTAGCAGTTGATGCAGAATCAGAGTCTTCAGATACAGCCATTGTAGACAAATCCCAAGACCGTGGACGGCCTGATTTCTGCTGCACTCTATAAAGTAATATTAATTCATACTTTAAAGCAAACACATAGTAAGAGGGCAATATATAAAAACAGTATATTGATATAAAATTATTAAATCAATAACTAATTTTTAATTGAACTACTTCCGAAGAAATTAATTTTAAAATTTGTTAATTTTTATAGTCCAATAAAGTAGCTGTATTTAGTTTAATTTAAAAAGTTTTTCTTTACAGTTCGCATTGAACATGGATATAAAAAAATAAAAACTTTAAATAGATATTTGATTAGCTTAGACATTTACATTAACCTTATTACAATGAGTAGAAGAGCTGAACCGAAAATACAAGCTTTAATATGCTTGGTGCAACAATTAAAAAGTTTAGATAATTGCAACCTGTTGTTACTTATAAGGGTAATGTTCTAACAAGACTTTTACAAATGATGAAAAATGTACAGATTTGAAGATTTGATAAAATTTTTCAATGATAGTTAGCATTTATTTTTTAAGACAGGTGGCGCTAGAATTTTAGACTATTAATATCTTGATATCGTGAAAAAAAATATATGGGTCTCCTCAGAAAAACCATGAATTTTTATCATCTGGCATCCATAACATAAATTTAATATTTTAAAATTACTATTATCCAATTTAAAACAATATATTGAACATAAAAATTAAATAAAAAATATTAATTTACAGTTCAAAAATTGTCAACAAATGTGATCTCTCTCTCTCTCTCTCTGGAGAAACAGAAATTTATATTCTAATTCCTGTTTCTCCAGAGTAATGTCACATCTGTAAACAGAAGAAATTCATCCAAAATACAGCGATACACTTTTTCAGCTCATGAATTTTTTCTCAATTAACCATTTTGTTAAGATCTACAAGGAATAGCATATATTTTTTGTTTCATTTTATTTAATTTGAAACTTTTAGCTATTCTTTGTTATGAGTAGAGATCAACTTGTCACATCTGTGGACATCATACAGATAATATAATTAGGTAAACTAATTAAATAAATCCCCATTAATAAAGTTTCAAATACTCTAAAATTATTTACCAAATTTCAGATTTTAGTTTTAAACATATCAGTTTTTAAAATGCAGAAAACTATGTTTTCTTCACATCTGCAGACTCAATATCTACAGATATAACACTGTCTAACGATGTTAATGCAACAATAAAATAACTGAAATAACCAATGAAGAAATGGTTAGTTGGCCTAATCACGCAAAATTTTTAAAAAAGAAGTTTAAACAAAAATAGACATATTTTATTACACTTTTATAAATTCCTTTTTGCATGAATGAACCACAAAGATATAGCTTCTAGTTTTTATTTGTTTAATTTTTAGTGTTTACAGATAGTGGTAAGCATGCTTTTTAATGATTAGTAGATTAAATAAAATTTATCAAAACAAACAAATACATAAATATACTAACTTTTTATCCAAATTATTCAAATTAAGATGCATCAATTCAGGATCGCTGTGATTGAGTCGTTCATACAGTTTTCCTTCACTGTCTTTTTCGTAGTCACGCACATTCATTAAATCAGCATACAATCCATAAACATCACTAGCTTCTTCCAAATTATTCAATGGGGCAATATGGGAACATAAAGATTGATTGTGAGGCAATGTCTTAACTCCAGATACATGTATGTACCCAACATCTAGTTTTGTTTCTAAAAATGTATAGCATAATATAAGCTTTTATTAGTAAAGCAAAAAATCAGCACAAAATAAAATTTTATGATGAAATGAAAAAAAAGCATTTAATCTAAAGAAAAATTTAGCTATAGAAGTTGATAAGAAAGTAAGTAAAAATATTGACTTTTATTTTTCTAATTTTATCCATTACATTGAATAGGTAAATTTTAAAACAAGTATTATTATGAAAAAGCCCATCTAAATCACTTAAACTAATTTATAAGTTACTTGAAAACAAGCTAAATGGCCTGTGTTATTTTATAAATCTCTCTTATTTTTTTAAAATTATGTCCATCATTTGCTCTCTCAAGCACGAGAAGTCTTGCAGTCCAATATAACAAAGAAATATCTCCAGGGGCGGAGAGCGTCTTGAAACTGGAAGAATTATGGACCTCTTGGAGGGCAGAGCAGTTCCAAAGATGCCCACCATTCATATGGCCCCTATTTGCACATACAGTAGTTAGGAGAGTCAGAAAGACCAACACTGTATTATTTTATAAATCATAAAAGAATATTACATAGTGTTAATATGCAAACAAAAATGCATTAATAACAGAAAAAATTAAGTGATTAATTACAAGACACATGTATTAAAATAAACAGTAAAGAATTATTAAAACTGGAAGACTTACCAAATTTTTTACTTGATGTTGGTGAGGGTAACATAGAATCAGAAAGTTGTTTAATGACTAAAGATTGTGGCGATAAGTCTTTACAAGGATCAACATTATCAATGGTTGGTGTACTGGCAATAGGAGATGATAAGAATGGAATTGACACAGATTTTGGTTGTAAACTTAACAGCAAATTAACAGGTCCTTGGTGTCCATGAAATGCTAAACTAACACGTCCAGTTATAATAGGTACACCTTCTAAACGAGGTAATGGTACAGTCAAAACAATCCCAACATTAGTTCCAACCCAAAGTAACCCTTTGCTGGCCAAAAGAGAAGTTACGTGTATGGCTTGAATTGACTTTTCTTTGTCCTTACCTATGAAGAAATATTATCATTTAGTAACAATGTGTGATGACTGCAATTAAAGTAAATATACTCTAAGAATTCATTTTCAGTATTAGAAATGAAGTTCTTAGAATTTTTCAAGAAAATTTCAATAAAATTCCAGGCAAAATTTTTGCTATTCAAGGTAATATTTCCTCAAAGCATAATTTCACTAAGTAATGAAACTTTTTTTAATAGAAAATTTAAGTTTTACTTTACTAAGATTTACTTTAAAAGATAGATTACAAAGGTAGATTTACAAAGCTGTATTTAAAGTAAAAGTAGTACTAAAGAACTTTTTGATTCATCTGTTTTTGAGAAATTTAATATAAATGTAATTACCACACTTGATAAAACCTTAGGAGACACATATACAGAAAAATTTAACTTACATAAAAATATAAATGAAATTATTTTAAGCAAAATTGGTAGATAATTAGAGAAAATTAGAAAAACCATATTCAAATACTAGCAACTTTTCCTTTTAAAAACATGGTCCTGATTTTTCAGGACAAATCTTTGACTATAGATAAAGAAATCAAAATATCCTGCAGAAGTCAAAACAAGAATCAAAAGGAAGTTTTAAACAGCAGCGTGATTTTTTTTTTAGAAAAATAATTGAAAGAAACTTAATAACCAACTGATTAACATCCTCTATTTGAATAGCTTAAAAAATGAATCTTTATTGTTATAATGAAAGTATTGTTCTTCTAGCAGAACTTTTCATTTAATTCTACTAGTGATTCAAAACTGTAATTATTATTATTTCATGTAAATTTTAAAAAAAATCAATACCTCGTAAAATATGATTCACATTAGAAGCAATATTAATATCTTGAAGATGTTGAAAAGTCTCTGTGTGATACAAACAAATAGTTGCAGAATTTTTCAATGACATCCATATTCCAGTTCCAGAGTGAGCTAAATGAAATGCTTGGCTACCATCATCATGTTGTATAGGATAGTTTCGCTAAAACACAAATGAAACTTTTTATAATGGGAACATTAGACATATACATTAAACATAAAAATATCCATAACATTGAGATGCAATTATTTGGTTGAAAATAATTTTAATAGTATTGTGTACAAAGACAAGTAATTACTATATGCAGGTAAAATTCAATATAATTATTACAAAATTGCACACAATTCTTAAATATTTGAAGCAATTATAATGTTACTTGATAACTATTATTCAAAAATACTTATAATTTGTTTTCTAGTAATCAAAAGTTAAAACTTTTGTTAGTTAGCTTCAAAAACTTGCTTGAGAGTTTCTTCACAAAATTTGTAACAATAAAATATGGCTATTAAAAAAATGTGTTCTGTTATGACAATCTAACATACATGAGAGGGCATCAAGGTGAACTAAAATAAACAAAATTATACTAAAGCTACATTCTTAAATCATAATTTTGAGTTCAAGGGGAAAAAAATTAATAGTCAAACATGGTGCTATCAATGTGAAAGTTTTTGTGAAGGGAATCTTGTTTAAAATAGTTAAAATACAACAATTATTAATAACATTTAATTGTAAGATTCTATTTAACTTTATCAAACTAATTATTTCTGTCAACATGAAAGAAATATGGAACTTTTTCACTATTTTGAATAAATTAAACAGGCACTTCTCATTAATACCTATGCTATGATAGTTAAAAGTACACTATTCAAAAGAGTTTATTAAATTTTCTAAGAATACACATTTACTTAGTAATTTTATAGAAAATATTATTTATATGCAAATTCCCGTTTTTGCATCAATCTACTAAACTATCATTAACTAGACACTTAGGGAAATTATTTCCCAAAAGTTAATGTCCAAATTAGCTTAGAAAGAGGACAAATACCAAAAGTAACTGAATATTTAGTGTATTCAGAATTAAAAAAAATTAAAGTCAATAAAAGATTATAATAAAAGTTACTATTTCTGAATGTTGTTTTGTCTTAATATCCCTGAATGTAAGTCTTATAAAGGTACAAATTTATCCTTAAAAGAAAAAGTGAAACAATGCATATTACAGACACAGAATCAAGCCGTACAATCAATACAATACCTATAAAACAATTATTTAAACAAATAAATTTTCACCTGAGTATTGTGTTTTATAAAGTTTAGAAATATAAAATAGTATAACATTATTTTAAATTACTATCCATAATAAATATGAAAAATGAGCGAAATATGATACATATCTTATCAAAAAAGCAATTTTACCTGAACTTCAGCAGTAAGAGAATCAACAATCCATATTTTTGAGCCACTTGAGCAATACAAGTTGAGACCAACAGGTAATAAACAAGCAACTGGATCTTGACTCAAGACTAAATTAGTGGGGTTTTCTAGCTGCCAATGGCCATCTGTACACAAAAATTGATATTTTTATAAAAAAATTTCAAGACTAATTTAAAACTTAACTAGTCATTTTTTTACAAGTACAAAAATAAAAGATAAAATGAAAAATATTTGCAGCATCGAACTGAAATATCATCAAAGCATAAATTTTATGAATACAACCAATAGCATTAATAAAGGTGAACATGAATTATTATTCCAATGTTGATACACAAAAGCAATTTAAATCATTTAGATATCTATGTTCTGTAACTTGTCAATGTCTTAGCTAAACATTAAAAACAAATTGATACAGATAAAATAATCAATTCTATCCAGATATGATCCAAAATATCTGAGTGGATGTTTGCAAGTTAAAATATGATTCCTATCAGTGACAAAGAAGGTTACAAGCTCTCAACTTCAAAATCCCTAAGCAGTCTCTGTGTCAGCAATGTAAAAGTGCACAATTTGTTTTTTTAATTTATTCATTCTCTTATTGTAAAAGAAAACTTTCATTTACATCCATTTTATTTACAACATATACATCTATTTTATTAATATAGAGTACTGCCAAACAAAGTTGGAAGAATAAATTTCATTCATTCAATACTGTGAATAGAACTAAATACTGAAAGTCTAATACTTTGATATTTTCAAGATCTGTTTAGCAAATAAAATTGTTTACATTAAATATTACAAGTTCTGAGAATATCTTTTTATATACTTTCTTACTACTCAGTCTTTTAAGCTTTCAGAAGTAGAAAACTGCTAATTAAAAGTAAGATGTGTTTATTAGACTCAGTGACTTATTAGACTTCCTTGACCTGATGAATGTAAATTTAGAAACAACAAAATACTTAGATATAATTGCAATACAATTAATATGGATAGGGATAAATAAAGAGTTTGTATACACTTTTGATTTAACAAATAAAACATATTTCTACTGTTTCTGATTAGTCTCCAGATCAAATCTGGATCATCAAGTTGAAGATTATAATTAGCTCTATTTTTCCAACTCAAAGAAAATATAAAATTGCAACTTGAAAATAATAAACTATACATCATATTTTATATATAAATGATTATATAATAATTATGTACTAACCAGAATATCTATTGAATATTAAGACAGAACCATTTGCTATTCCAACATAAACTCGATCCAAATGATATTTTATTTGAATAATACAAGCTGGTGTAACGGTGCTGCCAAGTTCTTCCCATTTTTCTGGACATGAGCCTTCTAGAACAATCACTCTAAAAACAAAACAGGGCAAATTATAAAAAGAGAAACGTGATATCAAAAAACTGATATATATATATCACTAACTTTAAATTGCATATAAAGCAAGGTAATTTTGTTGAAGATTATGATGAGAAAATTTATAAAAATTTAATTCACATATTAAACAGATATTATTATTCAAAAAAAAACATATGCTAATTGTGCTTGAACATAACCTTGTGACTATAATTGTTATGGAAAACACACAAGAATAATAAATTTAGCAATCACAAGAGATAAAACAAAAACAAAAAATATTAGAAAAACTAGCCTGCAATCAAAACAAAATCTATAAGGGCTGTACAAACTATAAAAGAATAAACTAATGAGTTCATTTAGTTATAAGAGAAAATAATGAAATATGAGATTTGAATAAATCAAGAAAAATATTTTAAATATCTTTAGTCAAATATGCGAGTAAAACTTAAAATAATAATTTCATTTTAATAAGAGGAAGCACTTAAATATGAATTTTTTTAAACAATATATAGCAATAGCACTAAATAAAAAATAAATTTCTAATTTTCCACTATTTAAAACAATGAAAAAAATGAGGAAACATAAAATAATGCATTTAAGTGTTTAAAGTAATTTGTACATTAAATACAATGCTCATTTCTTTTTTTTACATGAAATCTCCAGTTTTCTTTCTATTACCAATAATATTACTCAATATTTCAATTATTTGCCTGTTCTAATTTCAATTAGCTCTTTCTAAAATTCATAATTTGTTATTGATATAAATACTTTGAGAACTAGTACAAACATTGAGGCTATTTTGTAGTAAACATAATAATTTTCATTAGCATCTACAATTTCATCCTCTTCCACATTACAAATAATGAGCTATTGCAAAGTTAGCTTCAAGAGCTTAACTTTCTTGGCTTAATGAATTTCATTTGAAGCACTTAACAAGCAAAATGTTATACAAAATAAAAACTCAAAACATTCCAATATTACAAAAAAATTAAGAAAAGAGTTAAAAAAAAATAATCATAGCATTTTACTAACTTTTGGTTTTCAGTGCCAAGCCAAACAGTTTCAGTAGAAAGCACAGTATCTGAACTTAGAGATTTTTCATCAGAACAAGATTTATTAACTGAAGGTGTTCCTGGTACAGCTTCGATTGCAACAATTTTCATCTCATTTAAATGGTACACAGCAACTTGACGAAGATGTGTGGATTGTACGGCCATAACAACAATATGACTGTTCAATCCATCTGTTGAACAAATCCATAAATAATGCTGAGAGATAGAGCAACTGTTGGCAACATAATGGCACCCACATATAACCTAAAATTACGAAATATAAAACTTATTTGTCTTTAACTAATAAATAAATAAAATGGCAGTAAAACACCTAACAGACATTACTTCAGATGAACAAGAGGTCTGAAATACAGGAAAGTTTTTCACAAATAATGGCATTTTGCTGCTTGGTCTCTTTTCTTGATCTGCAATATCCCAAGCAGGAAGGTTGTTGGCATCTACATAAATTGTTAAAAAAGAGTAAACATTAGACAATGTAATTTAGTTTATTAAATTACAAATAATGATTGAGCTTAAAAAGGCATGAAAGAGCTATTATTAGAGTTACATACACCTCACAGAAACATAAATCAAAATGTCAGTTACTTAAGCAAGAAGAATTAAAAAATATTCTCTATCAAATGCCAAATTTTCATAATTCCAAAAATGTTTTATACTACATGAACACATTACTTTGCTCTGCACCGCTGCATTATGGATTACTTTAATTGAAACAAACAAGCCAACAATAAGACAAATTCTTAAAACTTTAAGACAAATAATAATATTATTCAGTAACATATACTGAAAAACTCATATTTGTGTCATTATTAAAGCAACTCATTTGAAAGATATTTTGGAACAAGGTTAGAATATAAAACAGAGATTTCATAAAGTAATAAAGATAAAAGATATAAAGAGAAAATAGAACAATGGAAATAAAGATAAGAGTAAATTAAAACAGATTTAATAATGTATGCAAAAAACATTTCTCAAAATGATTACCTGGTTTTATTTGTTGTTTAAAATAAACTGAAATTAAAACAACAAGAAAGAACTTTAAAATAACATATTTTTTATTACTGGTACAAAAATGAATAGTTTAAGAAATTTTTTTTTAATAAATGAAAAATTATGAATACTGTAAATATTAAATTATAAAAAATTGAATGAAGAAACTTAAGTTGACAGACAAAAATAACACCAGACAAACATAAGAATCCCTTGCTTAGAAGAAGTTTCATGTGTAAATTTTATCAAATCAAGCTAATTTTTAAAAAATACAAAAAAAGGCTCAGTAACAAACTATTTTTTATCCATATAAAACTGTATGTTATATCTGGGAGGGCCAGCTTCCACTAAGATATAATTGGGAGATCGGGAAAGAATGTGAATGGGTTAGACAGTTTCACTTTTCTTGGTTAATAAGCTCAGTTGCAAGTTGGTAAACAGATTTTAGAGATAAGTAGATTTTTTGCTCTGGTAAGAAATGCAATCAAATGCTTTTCAAATATATTATTTAAAAGAAAAATAAACTATATGTATTTTATTTAAATTATAGTTACAACTAATTTTTTTTCAAGAACACCAACAGTTCCACTTCAAAATCATGCTAATGATAATATATTAAAATTTTCTAAACATAAAATTTCCAGGATTCTGTAACTTAAAAAAAATATGTTTAACAAAGTTAACCTTATAAGAATTGGAAAAGTTTGAGGTACACATTCATTAATGAGGTTTTATAACCACAATGTTAACCATTTTCATACCATTGTGCACCTAAGCCAAAAGAATCAGTAAAAAACAGGTAACACACTAAATAAGGTTTAAAGCACTTCTAAATAAATATGTATAAACTATTTTAAAGGAAAAAAGAAATGAGTTTTTAATGAATTATTCTCTACAACAAAGGTTAATAAAATACAAAATGTTAATTTTCTTAAATTTTTTTCAACTTAATTAATAAGTGCTGTAGAGAAGAAAAAAAACTTGAACAATCATTATATATGAAAAATTATGGCATATCTTAAGAAATTATAAAAATAAATGTAAGCCATATGAAGTTTCTAACTGTTAAAAAAACCATACCTAATGCTAATTTTGCCAATCGCAAATCAGTTATCCAATCCCGCTTCACAGCTGGGCTTATCATTTGGAAGCAGAATATTTCTTTATTAGATCTGTAGGGAATGTTAGAAATTGCAGATTTTAGGCACTTATTTTTAATATTCAAGAAATAAAGAAAAATATTGTTATAAAATTAAATATATTAAGAAACATTGAATGACTAAATTTTGTACCTGAATGAAATAAATCACCTTTGCATCATAATGTACAAGAGAAAAGTCTGAATAATTTAAATGTTAAAATTAAAACTATAGGGATGCCAAGATGTTCCGCTTTATAGGAAAAGTTTTTCAAGTGGTAATAAAATTTAATGTTAATATGAATAACTTCTGCTTCTGTAATTTTGTTTATAAACAACTTAGAAGTTCAAATTTAATTCAAGAAGTTCAACATTTAGTTACAGTTATCTTGTGATGAGCCTTTTAATATAAAGGCAAAAGTTATCAAAATTAAATAAATTTCAGTTTTTGATTCACTACCAGTTTAGAAAATTTTTTAATGAAAGCAGAGCAGTTCGCATCCTTGAAACTGCTACGTGATCAAAAAATGAAATGCTAATGTTTGTTCAACTCTTGACTAGAGTTTCATAATAATAAGATAGTCAAAAGATGACAAGAAAAAGATTCAAAATCTAATCAATGATTTTGAGAAAATATGGTCATTTATAGGTTTTAAGAAAACATTCTAACATTTAAAACTCTAGATAAATAACAAATATAAAACAAAAAAAATTCATATGACATTTCACTAAACTAGCAACTAGCTGGATAAAACTTAACAATAACACTGTGGCATATTTTTAAAATTTTTATCTCATTCTCCCCGTGACCAAACAAAGAGAAAATAGGTGCTAATAGAGAATATTAAAATAGGTTAAAGAGAATATAAGCTTTGGTATTAATAAATAATACAAAATAAGATATAGTGTGAAAATAAATAAGCTTCAATATGATGTAGTTAGGAAATATTAAGTAAAACAAAGAAGCACATTCAGAATGGCTGTTTCAGCAATTTAATTATTATAGCCAATGCAAAAAATATTAAAAAAAGCTGCTTTAATGTGCTTTTAAAAAAAATATAAAGAAAACAAAAAAATAGTTGATAAATGCAATAAACTATAAAAAATCACCACATTGAGAGTAGTATTACCTACATAATATTTTTCAACAAATAGAGATATAGAACTTTTTTTAAAAAACAGTGACGTTGAAATGAAGACTAAAGCATATTTTTTAAATGAGCTTTGCAACTGTGTCATTCAGTAGCAGGAAATTTTAGCCACAGAACTATATTGGTGTTATAAAACTCTTTGTACATTTTCTTTTTTAGCTTTCTGTCATCATTTTTTATAAAACTTTCTTATATACAAAGAGTAACTAGTTTGAAGTTAGTATTACAAACAAAAGAAAATTCTATTTATCAGAGCTAAAAATATTTTCTCCATCATTGATGCATGGCAAAACAATTTATAACAATTTTTAATTTAAGCTAATTTTGTCGAAATTTTAAATAAATAATTCATTACTCATACTCAAAATAAAATACAGTCAAAATAGTGAACACGGTTTATAGTGAACTCCCGGATATAGTGAATGAAATGTTCGGTTCCGTGCCTTGCTATACCCGTATAATGTTATTTTTTGTGGATATAGTGAACCAAAAAATTGATGAAGTCGGGTATAATGAACTTTTTTCTGTCTTCGAGTGATTTTTTTCTTCATTTTTTCGTAATAATTTTGAAATTTCTACTTTAAAATAATTCATATACCGATTTTTAATATTATCTATAGTGGGTAAGGTAGCGATAAGTATTTTTTTCTTGCATGCTTCTTTTATCTTACTTTTCCATCCCTAAACAAATCAAGTAGATGTTTCCAACCCAGGCAGATGATGCACCTGTAAGGTGTCAGTGAGATCAATATGCATTTTCTGTCAGAGGGAATGAGCAATTATTCATTATTGGTCAAAGAGTTGGACACTAATATGTGTTGATAAGGCCCTCATTTCAACTCCTGTTTGCTCTCAGTGCAATTAAAAAAAAGCCTGCAAACAAGTGTCTCAAATTTAACAATGGCGAGCAGTAAACGTAAAATGTTCTCCATTGATGATAAAATGAGCATAATCAGAAAAATTTAAAATGGATATAATCAAGCTGACATTTGCAGGGAATATAAACTATCCAAATCTACAGTTCGTAACATATGGAAAAATAGTAAATGGCAGAAAAAAGTTGAGAAAAGCAGATCACAAGGATGTTGAAGAAGCATTATTGAAGCGGTTCAGCATTCAAAGAAGCCGCAATCTTCCAGTATCTGAGCAAATGTCGATGAATTTTCTAACCGATTTTATGAGATTACTTTTATGTGCTAGAATGGCAGGTTAGGCAAGTTTAAAAAGTGGACTAACAGAAATTCAGGAAAAATTATCTGAGAGTCGGGAAGTGTTTCCATATCTGATGTTGAGGATTGTTCATCAGCTAAAGATTACTAATTTTTCTTTTTTTTTTGTACGCAGGACGAAGAGTAATAAAAAATAACAAATTTTTTGCTACTACATAATATTTTTCAGTCATTTATTTGAATAAAGTGTAATAAAAGGGAGGAATTTGGGAACCATTAGTTAAATTGCCCGCATAACGGATATAGTGAACTCCCGGTTATAGTGAACCAAAATTTCGGTCCCTTGAAGGTTCACTATAGTTTGACTGTATATAAATTGTAAAGACACAAACACGCATGAAATTGGAAACTTCGTTTCCCCTTTGTAATTACAAGTTAGAAAAATTACGACACTTTTATGAAGTATAAGCAAAAAAGAAAAAAAGTTTTTTTTTCCAAGTTCCCGGGCAATACTTATTTCATTCAAAACGCGTGTCTTAATAAAAATAAATTGAAAATATACTTTGATCGGAACGGCACAGCCAGTTGTAAGCAGCTGCTTTCCATTTGGTTTATTTCATCACATTTTTGTTGAATAGTTTCTTGTATGCTTGATGATACTCTTTGTGCAACATCAACATTTAAATCCTAAAAAAAGTAAACATCATTCAACAACTAAAACCAAAAATTATATTAAAAGACAATGAAAAGTTGATGATAATTACGAAGTTCAATGTTTCACTGTCGTTAACTGCATTGTAACTAGTTGTAATTACTGCATTGAAGTTGTAGGTGATTGAGTTAAAAATAATCACTTTGCATGTATCAACTCATTCAACTACAACTTCAATGCAGTAATTACAACTAGTTACATTAGTGTTATTAAATAATAATGAAAAACTCATGCGCACGTACGAAGAGTAAAAATGTTCTTTAAGCACTTTTTTAACGGGAAGCTTAAGTTTCATCATACAATTTATACCAATAATAAAAATTACAACAGAATATGTGGCTTTAATATATGAAGATATTAGAAATGGAATATATGTGTATGGGCAAGTAAAAGAGTGTGTCAGGCAGCATACTTTATGCCTTAAAGTTCAAAATTATTTAAAAATATGTTCCATCCATAAGAATTTAATTACATAAAAAAAAACATTGAAAATTTTATATATATTGTACTGAGTCTTTTTCATATCAAATTACAATTTTCAAGAATTTTTAGAAAACTTACGCTTACAAATGATTCAAACACAGTAAAATAACTAATTGAAAAATACAGAAAAAAGTAAAGTTTTAACAACAGGATAAAATAGAAATTTTTAAGATTATGAATAGAAGCTGTTTCTGTTACTCATAAACAAATAAGAAGGCAAAAATGCTATTTGTAGAAATAAAACAGTTTTAATTTATATGATTTCCTGCTCAAACTAAGTAAAAAGATTATATTTTGGATATTAAAAATTAACCTTGTTAATAAACAACATTAGAAAAATTCATTTGCTTAAAGCCAAATACAAAAACTTTTTCTGTTCCTTAGAATGTTTTTAAACCAAAATCTAATACACTGACTAAATTACAAATCACCCTCTTCTTTCCTAAAATGCATGTGATTATCAAGAATTTTTTTTTCTCTTACAGAGAGAAAAAACATCATTCAGCTTGTTCCCCAAATGAAAATCAGATGGAAAGAATCCAAGTAAGAAGATAAATGTTACATTTGTTTCTTGATTTATAACTACTCCTTTCATTCCTCATAATATATTAGAAAAAACTATAAGCTTATAACTTACATTATAAGTTCTTCTTAATGATGACACTAATGAATCAATTCTAGCAATGATATCTTTGTCATGAATGAGATCTCTTAGTTCTTCGTAAAGAGTTTGTTCAGTAGGGACATCAGCTAGAAAACAAAATTTGTTTTACTTAACTGTTTATTTTCAAGATAACCATCAACAATATAAACTATAAAAATTTGTCAAGAAAATGAAAATTGAAACAAATGAAATGTTTTTGTAAAGGAAAGCATTTAAACCAGTTTTTAATGGTAAAAATCTGTTTGACCAAAAAGGATTCAAAAAAAGAAAAAAATATAAATAATTGTCAGATAATAAATAATTAAAATATAAAGGGAATGCACAAAAAATTTTGACGTACCAGTAAATTAAAAGTAAATTTTCTTTTGTATTACTTAGTAATCACTATTTGATATTTTAATGAACTTATAACACTAAAACATAAAATTTTTACTATTGAAAAAAAATCATTCATGAGTTTAGACAAGAATAACACTCTCCTAATTTGATTTATTTCAACATTTTTCATTAGAAATATATAAATGAGTGATAAACTATAACACTTACCATTTAATATATTTAAACATACATTCATAACACAGTAAAACAATCACTTCAGCTTCTTTTAAAAAAAGAAAAATATTTCCTACAACTAAAAGTATCTTAACAACTTGTTCCTCTTATAAATAATCAAATATTTAAAAAATAAAATTAAATTGATTAATTTTAAAGAACAAAATTTTTATCATAAATTAAATCTTTATATTTTGCTTTAAAAAGTATTTGGAAAAAAAATTTCAAAGAAAAAAAAATACCTGATTCACCATCAGCATTATGATTTGCAAATTTACTTTTGCTGTAAAACATTTTTAAAGTTTTAGCAGACATGTTTAAATCATCATAGATATCTACTTCTTGAAGAGGAACTGCCCATTTGAGATTTAACCTTTCGACATTTGAGAGATTATCACTATTCCTTAAAAAATATTAAGAAAATATCAGTACAGTTATTACCGATAGCAAAACTATTGTATCATTAAATGTGAAATATACATACCGAGATGAAACAGCAACAGATAATAAAAGGTCATTTAAAAGGAAAAGTCTCCTTTCCTTAGACTTCACTACAAGCCCATTTTGATCTAACTGCTGTAAACATGCCAAACAATAAATAAAATATTAGAAACATATGAACTCACTAGTTTCATAAGCATCGTACGAATTTTAAATAATATATTTCATAATTTAAAAAGACTAAAACGAAACTGTTTTTAGAAAATCGTTATAGATTCAACACATGCTCACACTAAGTTTATATTTACACAAAATTAGTAATAAGTAATAAAAACATCAAAAATATTGGCAATTTATTTACTTAATTTTTAAGATTTCAGATTAAAAAATATAGAATAATAATAAAATAATTTTATTGTGATTATATTCAACATTCAATGAGCAAAAAAGCATTCTAGTTACCACATAATGAATCTAAACTTTTTGAGAATGACGCATACTTAAGAAATGTTCTTTAATTAGTACTATTTAATTAAAATTAATAATAAGTAATTATGAGTACTATTTAATTAAAATTAATATGAGTAAAAATACTTTTTAGCAAATTATGATGTTTTTCCCCAGATGAAGATTCAAAATCCTAAGAAGTAATAGCTTAAATTTTGTTAAGATGTTAAAAGACAAGTTATTGCCAGTTTGAGCTTCATGAAATCGCTGCTGTACTTCTTTTTTTCACTTTTGTATTATTGTACTGTTTCAAAATGATACAACAAGACATTAATGAACATTGATTGTGTATGTTAACTATTGAATTACGTCAATATAGAAATCCCATTTCTATTTAATTATAGGATAATAGCAAGTCAATAAATTCATAATATAATCATCAATAATAAAAATTTTAATTTAATATGGTTTTTTTTTTTTTTAATTTATTGGCATAAAAATAAGTTTCTAAACAATTGCTGTAAACAGTTCTGAATTGTTAAAACAATTACAGCTATTCATTCATTTATTTTGCTTTGCAAATCGGCTAAAATATAAAACAACTTTCGCCTATTTTTAACCTCTTGTTTTGATTATGTGAGGATTAGGGCGAAAATTGATAGAACAATGTCTGCAATAAATTTTTTTCTTAAATTTAAATTATACAAACTATTATGTTTATGAGATAAAAAAAGCATCAATTTTATACCTAAGAATACTCTATCACTTCTTTTAATTTAATACAAGCAATTCCTTCAAATTCTTAGTGTACAACCCACAGTCACTAAGCATTTGAAGCAATACAAACAAAACTATTATCTAAGGAACTAATTAAGGATTCCAACTACTATTTTTTTAAATCAACTTATCAATATAAATTTTTTTAAAGGATTTATAGTAAAGGGAAAGAACAAAAAAAGTTAATTTGTCCAGATTGACAAAAATTCAACTATACAAGAGAAAAGAATATTTTTATTTTATTTATTTGCTTATTTATTTTGCTAAAAAAGACATTGCATATATTTTTAAAAAAGAAAAAGGTTTGAACATTAAATCATTATCATTAAAGCCAACTTAAAATTACTTAAGTAACACTCCAAAAATCATTATATTTAGGCCTACAAATATTTTTTGACAAATTTTTTCTGCTTCTTTTAGGATATGGAAGACAATGTTTGAAGATAGATTAAATGCTTAATGTTCTTTTTCTCCTATTTAAAATTTTGTTGATGAACTATCTAAGTTTACCCTTCGCATTAGAAAGTAACAGAACACTTCCTTATTTTGTTACATCATAACTTTGAAAATAAAGAAGAAATAATAATATTATTTTGTTGATAAAGTAAAATAGCCTCTTCAACAGATAGTTGTTGACGAAGGAGACTATGGAGGCTTGAACTTTACAATTTTGAGCCAATGATATATATGGTGGTGGCAACAACAGCTGCTTTTTCTTTTAAACCCATAAGTCCATTAAAAATTTTATGTTAGACAGTTCTTAGACATAAAAGCTGGAATTATTATTACGTGGAATAAATATTTATAAATTAAAAAATAATATAAAACAAAATAAGATGGAACATAAAATGGATGATCTTAATACTAACAAGTTGTAACACATCATCTTGTCTTAGCAAGAAATGATTTCTGTCAGCAGAAGATTTAAAGGAGAACTTTCCAAAATGTTTGAGAACTTCCCGAACAGCATGATGTTGTTCAGCTTCCCGCTTCCTTTCATTTAAAGTTTCAGCAAGTGATTCAAGTTGTGTTAGAGCAAGTTGAAGTGACATGCGATCATGATGACCAGGAGGTGAATATTTTAACAAATCCTACAATAAATATATGAATAAAAATAATTAAATAATGTAAAAAGTCAAAATCAAACAGCTAAATGCTATAAATTAAAGCACTTTATATGGTTAAGACCTGTTTTTAAACCCTTCAAAGTACCTATAACAAATGTCTTATAAAACACCAGCTATGTCGAATAATTGTTAAGCTTTTACTTTTTTAATGATACAGCATTGAAATTATCCAAATATTCTATAAGGCTTATTTAATTTTTCAAACGGATGGCACATCTTCAAACGAAATACAGGTCTTCAATGCTATATTTTTATATGTGAGGTAAATGAAGTGAGATACAGAAAACTTAAATAATCAAACAAACTACTCTTAAATCAGAGGAGGAAATGAAAAACGTTGAAACTCAAAGTAGCAAAAGATTAAGGAAAATGAAGCACAGCTAATATAGCTAAAACTTAAATCCTTATTATTTAATGAAAAATATGCGTTTGCAAATACTAAATTTCTACACAGAAAGAATATAAAAAAATTAAATATAATTTCCTTTCTTAGCACTAACGGAACTTTTAAAACATGTCCAAAGAGAACTTTTTAAAGTTTTATAAAATACATTAATTCTGATTAACAGATTCATCTTTATTTGCTAATTTTGATTTTCTGATAATTTTGTAAATGACACAGATAAAATAATTAAATAAATTTTATCCTATAACATAACTTCAGAATCTGAATAATTAGCAATAGATTTGTTTTCTGCAACATAGTTGTTTTCAGCCAATGAAACCAACTGCTAGCATAACATTCTCAGGAAACCAAATTTTAAGAATACAAAAATATCTTAGGTAACAAAAATAGCAAAAACCTATTTTTTCAGGAATTTTTGGAAAAATTTCTTTTGAAAACTAGTTCAACACTTGTTTTTCTCGAAAAATTATAGCTTGGCAACTGTTCCCAAACTTAATAACTTTCTAAACAACATTTTAATACCTCATTTTGCAATTGTCTTTTTTGTTTTCCACTCATTCTCATACACTCTTTACACATACCATAGTCACGTGCCATTTTCATGGATATTTTACAAATATGAAGATGAGGGATTTACAACTAGTACATACTAACAGATTTTTGAAAATAAATTATTTTTCCTTTAAAAACATTATGAAAAAGTATAACACAACAAAACAAGCAATACCAAATTTTATAAAGATGACTTTCCAAATAAATTTCTATTTTATTTTTTTTTTCAAGTAAGAGAGTAAAAGTATTTACCTGTAGCATCAATATAAACTGAGGAAATCTTTGAACAGGTTTCACCATTAGACCAAAGAATGATAATCTATCAGTACTATTAATTTGTTTAACCTAAGAATATAAATAAAAAATTATTAAAATTTTCAGCCAAAACATCAATCTGCTTGTGAGTATTATCTAATTTAGCAATATTTATATGTACATACACACTTGAGACCATACCAACTATAAGGACATTGTGAATGAAGAATTTTTCAAATCAATATGCAGGAATTTTTATAAAAAAAATTGGAAATCACAAGGTTTCAAACGGAATGTAAAAATGGGGACCAGATGTTTTTAAAAAATATTTCCTTTTTAATGCAGAACTTTTTTTTAATAAATGTCCTCTACTCATTATATGGTATGAATTTTATATTTTAACCATTAAATTTCATTCTTCCTTTCTAATGAAATAGAGAAATGTTGCCATATGTAGAAAGTCACTGAAAAGGGAGAAAAAGAAATATTAGAGGAAACACACAAAGAAAAGCTGAAATTTTAAAAATCTCACCATATTAGTTCACATAAATATTGATATAGAGACACTAATTAAAAATTTTTTTTTTTTTTAAATGGAAGATATGGCTTTTTCATGATCCTTCAAAATTATAAAAAATGATTTTTTTTAAAAAAAAAAGCTGAAAAACCAACTTGATAACTTAAGAAATCCATAGCTAATTTCTTAACAAAACATTCATTAAAGAAACAAACATTCGTTAACAATTCATTATAACATTTTAAATTAAAGGCTAAGATCTTTTCTCTTCAAAAGAATAGATGGTTGCAAAAATAAATAATTTTTTTGTGATTCTTTTCTTTAAATTGCAAACTTTAGCAAAAAAAAAACACATAAAACAAAAAAAGAAATAAATAAACTCTTTAATTACTCCTAAGCTAACCTAAAATGTTATTATGACACATGTGCTCATTTTAAAATATAAGAATTTATGGCTGTAGCTGCAAAACAACTTAATTCCCCNATTGGGAGAAAAAAGCGGATTTCCGCTTTTTCGTGGAAGTCTTTCATCCCTTGGAGACGTGAACGGCAAAATGATCTCCAATGACTCACGGCAATGCGGATTAATATTTGAAACTGAATTCAGGTTTGCCAAATTTTGGACGTTTTGTCTCAGAATGGCGCAGCTTTGGCAGAAACTGAGCTGAATGTCGCAAAATGGCGCAGTTATGCCGTTTTGTCTCAGTTTGTCGCAAATGGCGCAGGCGTAGCATCCCTGCCTACTACTAGTTTTCCCTAAACTAAAATGCATGACTCAAAAAAACTTCTTTTTGACACAAAAAAAAATTAGACAACTAATAACCTCATTAATATCACTTTTGTAATATTTTCTTTTGTTTTTGTATCATTTTTTCCCCTTAACTATTTCTCCAAAAATATAAAAATTCAATATATTTTCCTCTAATAGATTTTGCATGAGAGTAATAAAGGCGTGCAGCAAAACATTTCTGAAACAAAGGTAGTTTCTTTTAATATAGAGAGATTATATTTATAGGCAATGTATAAAAAATACATAGAACTGAAAAAAGCATTGTTATTGTATTAAGGTAGAAAAAAATTATTATTTTATTAAAAAATAATGATTTCTTTAGAAGTTTCATTATTAATTGGGCTTAATTCTTTTAAAAATTTGAACTAAACAAACTGTTTTCAAAAAGTTTCATTATCAAATTGGACACATTTATTTTTAAAAAAGAAAGATAAAGCATGAAGTTGCCCTAAAAGAGTCAATCAGCCCTCAATCCAATTTTTTTGTTCAAACCTTTTTTTATTTAATTAGTAAGTATGGTATCAAAAATTTCAAATCAAAAATACTGTGCGTAAATAAATGCTATAGCACAAAAATATTTTTATAGATTTTTAATAAGTTTTCCATTAAAACATTTTGCGATTATTCAATCATTAATTAGAAATCAATCACAATGGGGGAACGAAATCACAAATTTTGAAACTGTAAAATTCCATCCCACAAAATTTGTGGAAGAATTGCCTGAAAATAATAATAGTTAATGGCCACTGAATTTCTCATTTTCGAAATTTTCAGTTATAATATTGTTAATTTAGTTTTTTTTTCTCTATAAAATCTTTAAAGAATCAAATTCTGAAAAAATGAATACTGTAAGTAAAATGCAAGTTTCAAACTAATTGTGCATAATTAATGGATAGTCTTTAAGTTCTAATTTTGGCATAAGTTATAAATTACATTATTGTATACCATTGTATACCATAACTTTATTACAGCTGCATTTATATACCGAAATAACCAATAACCGTGAAGCTGAAATAAGCAAAATTTTGAAATTTTATTAAAAAGACTTAAACAATATTAACAATAATTCTTTTCTTTCTTTTTTTATGAAAGAATAATTAGAAAAATAAAAAATCTACAGTAGTGATAAGGATATAGTAAAATAAGGATTCATCTTACCTATCTTTTGACATTTATTTTTAGATTAGAATAGATAAGGAATTATATAGAATATAGATTAGGAAAAAATATTATTTTACTTATTTCAGTAAGTATGTGCATTTTTAAGATCTAAATTTTCCAAAATAATTATTTGTTCAAATTAATTAAAAAATAATTTTTTATGTATGAAGATTTCAAAAACCAAAGGAACAACAAAAATGATTATGAATGGTGTATACATTAGAAATCAGTATAAATATGTAATTATAAAGACTGACCATATCATTATCAAATCCACTGAAAATATATTAAATACACAAATTTTTTATTTTGGCCAAAAGTTAGATTAATTTATAAATCAATATATGATAAACATTTTAAAAAATATCTAACATGCCTTATAGTCGTTTAAACAGAAAATTAGGAGGTAATAATAAATAAAACAAATAAATAAAATAAATACACTAGACATAATCAAAACAATTTTCGTGCAGAATATTCTTTAAAAAAAAAAAGAGTTAGAAGAAAAACCAATAAAGAAGTTATAATTTACTTAACTAAACATTTATCTAAATGTAATAGCAGTGTTCTCCATAAGCGTTTTTTTTAAGGACGGCCTGCCATTTAATCTCAAAAAATGTGTCCTTTTTGTCGAAATAAGCAGTCATCACTTAAAAACACTGCCTTTTTATTCATATTCCATTTTGAAAATGATTAATTTTATACACGGTAAAAGCCATGGGAAACACAGGTTTTTTCCAAGATGGTAAAACCATGGTAAATACTGCTAAAAACTTCACATGGTAAATACCATGCCAACCCTGCAATGGCAACTAACTTCTCGGGGGAGTAAGAAAGGCTTGTGCACAATTGCAGCAATCATGTCATTGGTTGCACAATTGGGGCACCAAAACTTATATGTTAATTTTAACACTCTAAAACAGAAAAAAAAATTCTTAGAAGTTCTAATTTCTAATCAACCTAATTTGGAAAAAAGTGTATAACTAAATAGTCCAACAATAATCACGCATAAATAGGTATTTTATTAACAAAACTATATGGAATTTTAACTATAGGAGTTTTATTAACGAAATTGAAGTATTTATTCAACAAACACAAAAATACATTAAAAAATTAATAATATTGTTAAAATAACCAGTAACTTTACATACTGTAAAAAAATTGAAAGCAAAGGCATGACGATAAAACACACAATACCAAATTAAAGCTGTTCAATTTCAACTTATCAAAAGTGTTTCAGTTTGTTAATATTGTGGGTAGTATATCACTCAAATTTTTAATAAAAGAAAAGAATAAAGTACATAAAAAGCTTTGTTTATTCATCTATTTTTTAACGTTTAAGATGCTTTTACAAAAAATGAATATACTCTCTTTTGTGTTTTTTAAATTAATGAGTCATTACAAAGAGAATTTCTTTTAAAGTTATTTCAGTTAACAAAATATGTTCAGTTAAAAAAAAAGTTCAGTTAATAATATTACATGCAAATAATGTATTGTAAAATATATATATAACTCTGAAATAAATGTGATGTATATGAATACAGTAAACAAAAAATATTTAAGTTTCAAGTAGAATATCATAATTATTTTTGTATATATAACCCAAAATATTTTTCTACTTAAATAGAATACTTGAAGCAGTCACAATTGCATAATGAGCTGCTGTTACATACAGAAATGAATTAAAATAAAATGTATGGTAATTCCATATAAATTACCTTCAAGAAATCTGCAAATGCAGATTTATTTTTTGAAGCTTGCTTCGCAGTTTCCATAGCCAAAGAAAAATTGTTAATGAAATCACTGTATATGTCCAGAACCATTACTTTTGAAAACTGAAAAATAAATTATGGTTTCCATTATACAAAATTAAAAATATAAAATTTCAAGAATAAATCAAACACACTCAGTTTTATCAATTAGATAAATTAATAATTAATATTAAAAACTTATAAAATATTTTACAGTTATTAGCAAGTTGAGTATTTCAATTTCAATTATTATTTTATGACTAATTTTAATCAAGTAAATCCAAAAAAAGTTTATTTGGTAAAATATTTAAATGAGGGGTATAGAAGACATTATAAGCTAAATGATTAATGAAAAATAACACATTATAAAATTTTAAAGAGATCATTTGAAATAAATTACATTCTTTTATTCACAAATTACAATTAAACATCAAAAGTTAACTGCAGAATTAATTTTTACATGATTATGATTAAAGATTCAACCATGTGCTGGAAAATAAGTAACTAAAGCTAATTTTAAATGTTAAAATAAGAACTACCATAAACAGAGAGCAATTATGTACTACCAAAACTATTAGTAGGAAAACAACTTAAAATCACTAGATAAGTAGCTGAATATTGAAACATTAAGATTTCTTCATATATCAACATATAAGTGACAATAAATGCACAACCTTAAATTCAATATACAGAGCTCAAAGCTGAAACATTTATTGATTTTCTAAAGACGATGAAAATAAAGTGGTTTAATATTGGCAAAATGTTTTTGCAAAATTAAGTTTATTTGAATTTTAAAATTGTATGAGTAAAATCTGCTTAAAATTACATCTGCAAAATAAAAGGTTACGCATTTAAAAAAATTCTGATAATTTCGATCATTTGCAAAAATTATTTTGTTTACATCTTAATTTTTGACACTTCAACAAAAATTGAAGTTTATAGTTAAAATAACTTCTGCATTTAATACTAAACATACTAGCACTTTATATGTATTTATTTCTACTGATGGCAGACAAATGACCACGTTTCAAATGGACGCAATATCCTTTTCCAGTTTATTATAAGTAGAATACAATTAGGCAACAAAAAATAAAATAATTATGTAATAATTAAAAAACAATTATTTTTCAGGCTAAAACATTAGAGACTAAAAAATTTTTATGTTACTCCAGTAATTTATACTGATATTGTTATTCAAATTAAAATAAAATTTATTAATTATCGTACTTTCTTCCACAAATATAATTTTTACATGTAAAACAAATGTTTATGATTTTATTTAATTATTTTCACAACCCCCAATTTGATAAGTTTTTTATCTTTCTGAAATTTTAATGAAATCTGCTGAAATTTCCTCCATGCCTTTCGTTTCTTGTTCCTGTAAATTTCAATTTTCGGTGGCAAGTTCCGCTGCCAACTGAAATAAAAAAAAAATTAACTATACTCTTTCTCTTGTTTGCTTACACAAAATCCAAGCATTAATAGCGGCTAAATCCAGAATGTTGAAAAATACATTGGACAGACCATATATGAGATTTAAAATTTTTGCTGTAATTTCCAAGTTATTTGATATGTTATATCAATGCCAAATTTAATGTTATTATAAAAAGCAATAGTTTTAAGTATAAATTTAGCGCTGTTTACAAATTTAAAGTCCTAACTTAGATAAGAGAACTTTTTTTGAATAACTTTGTTAATTGTCAGAGTACAATTAGTTGATTTGTAAAGCTGCGTTGAACAGCATGCTACATTGTCTTTCCTTTTGTCATTTCGTTTGTTTTGTTGTCATTGTGTTTGGTAGGTTTTGGTAATTCCTTCTTATTCACTCTATTAGTTCCTACTAAGACCTTTCTTTTTGATAGAAGATTTATTGCTAAAGATATAGTAAAAAAATTATTGGTGGTTAAATTTCTTCCGCACCCTGTAAATGATTCCAGAGTTCGAGAATAGCGAATTCACTAAATGATACTGCTGATAGTCTAATCTCATATTTTCAAAATATACGGAAACCTATTCACAATATATTCTCAATGTCAGATGCTAACCACAATTTGATTCTGAACTTATCAGGTCTGTTGGGTATATATTGTGTAAATCTGCATCTTGCTTTTGTCCCAAATAGCTGTTCATCTTTAGTAATGTTTGCATCTAGTTTGTGGCCTTTTTTTAAATATTTTCTATAAATATATTCCCTACCTTTGAGATGAGAGCAGATTTGTAAGTCTATAAACGCTGGCAGCAATTACAGCAAAACTGATAAATTGCAGAATTTCTGTAAAACAATTTCTGCTTATTATTCCTGCAAACAATACAGAACCATAATTCTTAGTCCATAAATATGAAACATTCAAATTTCTTGTTTCATAAGCACTACATGCATATAAAATTGCAATAAAAGCATCTAAATCTGCAGAAGTTAACAACGACTCCATTCGGATCCTAAAACTTGTTATGCTTCTGATTCTATACACATTTTTATACGATCCATAACTCGTTGGTCATGTATCAACGAAAATGCACTTCTAAATGTCACGTAACAAAGAAATGCATCTTCATAATATAGCATTTTGTATTTTTCATTGGCCAATATTTTTCTGAAAATAGTATGAAGCAGGGATCTTCCATGTCTATGTCCATTGAAGTTTGAATATTTTGATCATTTGCTTCACATTTATCTTCAGAAGTAGAGAACAATTTTATTCTTTTTCAATTGCTATGCATATATTCACGATATTTTCTTCCTCATTATTTGTGTCGAATAGCTTAGAGTCAGTGTCCAATAGATCATACATACCACCCTCACTACCACAATTTTCTTCCTCTATTTTTGATTTCTTCCAACAATTTCTTTTACATTGACATTTTAGAGCAAAATTTTTAATTTGTATTTGAATAGACCACTAATAAAAAAATACAAAAATTGGAACACACTATTTTTATTTATTTATTACCCAAAGTTTGTAGCCTATCAAATTATAACAAATAGAACTGATACATCGCAAATATTTGTAATGCTGCTCATAGAGCCTGTGTTTGAATTTGAATGATTGTTATTTTGCTTCACGGGTTACCACCACCAGTCAGCCCTCTGTACCCAGCATAAAACTGTACATAGATGCATAGGATGTTTCTAAGCACTATCAGATGACATTTTCTTGAAAAGCTTAAAATTAGTAGTAAGTTTAAGATTTTAGTGCAAATAATTTTATAAAATTTCACATATTTTCCAGAAGTCAAAAGACAACTCACAATAGATAATCATAGAGCACATATAATCATCAGGAAAAACGAAAGAAATGAGAGAGAGAGATTGAGCAATAAAGTAGCTATATATTACAGAAAAGATGGTGCAGTTACTTCAAGAAAAATGAAAATATAAAATTTAACAATTTTAATAAAAGTCATAAAATTTGACCTCTCCGGTAGGTTTAGAGTTAAAAACTCAGTATGTTATAATGAAAGATACAAGGCTGTCAACTATTATGTGCTTCTTGCATAATAGTTGACAGCAAATATTTTATTGAGTGGTAGACAACTAAAAATTAAAGCTTTCAGAATTTTTGGTAATTTTGCACACATTTTAAAAGACTCACCACGAAAGAGCTGGCACTAAATGGTGTTTCATATGAACTTTTGAATCTTTTACAAGTGGTTGGATGGAAAATAGCTTTTAATTCAATTTACAAAACAAAGAATTCTACATTAAAATATAAACTTAGCTACTGCTAGAGCAAATTTTCCCAAAAAGCATATAATGTTGGCAGCCCTGAAGATATCAGAATCCTATAAAGAATAACTACGAACATCGAAAGAATATACAGATTAATTGAAGTGGACCAAAAACACTAGAATTATTACTGACATCAAAAATTATTACTAAATACTACATTCAGTTTGAGTATAATCCAACTCTTTGTTTGATTGAAATTAAGCTTAGAGTATTAAAAATGAAAAATAAAATACATTTAATGATTGAGATAGTAAAAATACCAACAAAAAAAAGACATTATTTGATGCAACAAAAGTTACTTACAGAGGCAACAAATACATCTCCAATTTTTTCTTCTTGATCCCATTGGCGAATACATTGAGTTAAAGCAATTCCAAAAATGTTATGACACTGCAAAATTTGCTCAACTCTGTGGAACATTACACTAATTTTATTGGCACTGACAATTGGAGAAGGGGCATTTTCCAATGGATGTTTATAATCCTAATAGAAAAAATTCGAGTGTGAATATTACAAGAATAAAAGATGTTAGTTTTAATTACATTAATGAATTTATTACAAAAGAAATATTTTAATAGTAGCAATATGTTACTGACAAATCTTTATTTCTAAGCAAAATGATAATTGGAGCTAAAAAAAAAGTACACTAAAAATGACTAATACAAATTGAAACAAAATTTATTACACATAATTTTATTCCTACATTTAAAAAATATATATGCTTACGATACTTTAAAATGGGCTCCCTCTCTTATGTTTTTAAAAATACAATCACTTATAAACAGGATTTTTTTTATGTAAATTAAATTTTGATTTCCAGTCAAATTCTATGCACATATAACACATGTAAGAATCCTTAAGAGCAAGATACTGAACATGAGTATCTCATAAAGTATATTTCATTTTCATTATCCCATAAGAACTTTTTTCCGTTTTACGTGACCAGAATTTCTGACTTTTTCCTTCCAAAAATTGATGAGATCATTAAGAATATTCTGAATCATATTACAAATCCTTTTTTATAATATTAATGACTTCACAATTACTGTTTTAGAATGAAAGAGGAGAAATTAATTAGTTTAGATTTATGACTGAGCCGACCAGGTGGCTGAGTGGTTAGCGTGCCTGACTGCGGAGTCGATGGTTGCGGGTTCAAATCCCGCTCAGGGCATGGATGTTTCTTTCTCTCTCTCCGTGTTCTATGTCCTTTCTTCTGTGAGATTGTGTGAATGTGACCCGCCCTATAGACGAGCTTGTGGTTGCGTGACGTGGGCGACACTGCTCCACCGCCGTGGCTTGGCCATAGGTGCTCACTGGGTAACGAGAAGAGAGTAGCAGTTCTGGCATTTTTGAGGTCAATGGGAAATAGACCCAAGTGCCCGCCATTAACCAAAAAAAAAAACATTTCAATAAAAAATTTAAAAAAAAGATTTATGACTGAAGTAACAGAAATATCTGATTTTTTGCTGTAGCTTATATAATTTTAGAAATGTTAAAAAAAGGGGGGGAAGTAAATTTTGATTGGAAATGCCAAGCTTGAAGATCGATTATAACATCACACTGCTGAACACAATAAATGTAATTTTGTAAACGCACTAAAAAATGGTTTTAAATAAATGGAGAAAAGGAGTTTATAGGTAAACCAAAATTTGTACATATGATTAGTATATGAGCAGTTAATATGTAAAACTGTTATTCTGTTATCACACAGTAAGCTTGTCTCATATAGTATTATACAGTATTTGTATTATTATGCATCTTTAATAAATATATAAAAACAAGGTATGATTCTAACTGTAAGATTTAACATAATAGTAAAACCTGACAGTTTCAAAATACAAAAAAGTTTTAAATAATTCAATATTTTCATTTAAAATAAAATATTAATTGATAAAATAGTAATTTAAAATACACAATTAAAGCAAAACAATAACTTTTAGTTAAAATTTTACATAATTGAAAATAGTGATAATTACTCTTATAAGCCTCTGCATAGAATTTAAATAGGAGTTTTCACTGTCAACTATACTTCCGACAATATATCTTCTCTTTAACTGAAAAAGAAATAATAATACTTTAAGATTGAATTCTATATGAAAAAAAGTGATAAATTTATTAGGAGCAGCTATAACTAAAATTTCGACACAAGAAACTCTTTGAAGAGAACATGACTAATTACTTTTTCAGGGCTTAAATTTGGTGGAACTGGTGGTAGAGATAGAGGAGGACGTTGCTTTTTGGGGATTTTGACATCAACATATCCATCTTCATCAGCATACAGAACTGTTAAAAATTTCATATTATTATTTTGAAAATTAAATTTATGCAAGAAAGTAATTAATTGCATAATTTTTTTAAGTAATTAAAATATCTAAAAGAAACAAACTATTCTTGTGTAATCTAAATGAAAATATAAAAACATAAATACTTAAGTTATTTAAAAGTTTTAGATTAAATTGCTATTTAAAAATATTATGTTAAATAGTTTTAATTTAAATATTATAAAAAATAGAAAAATGATTCAAAATTGATTCAATAACTAACATCCCTTAAACTCAAAGGCTGCTAGCAATCTCTTATGTAAAATTTAGTTCTAAAAAAAGTTACAAGTTATCAAAAACTTTTAATAGAAGAACATATCTTAAATTGTTTCCACGTAGAAACTCCAATATTGAAAATGAAATTTGTAAATGCTTATCAAAAACTACTGTTGCTGGTGTATTTCTATCCTAAATGAGTGAAAAAGTAGAGTTGCAAAGGATAGAAACATTCGAATGCATTACCGGGTTAGTAAAGAAAGAAATTCTAAAAATTCCTAGGAGTTTTACATTTATATTTTTAAGTTTTTGTCTCTCATTTTATTCATCAGTAGTGAATATTTATTGCAATGTTATTATTTTACATTTGTAATCTTTCCTACAATAATTAATGCAATTTATATTTAAATAAAACATTAATATTTTATAAAATACCATAATAAATTTTCTTGCCAAAAATTTAAGCAGTTTCACTTCATGGAAAAATTAAAGCAGCTGCATAATTGAAATAAAACTGCTAAAAGAAATTAAGGACTTGTAAATATCTTACAAGATTATAAATATGTAATCTAAGATTTTTTTTAAAATTAGAATTAGATGTTAAAAAGATTAAATATTTTAAATTTCTGTTAATACATATTAACATTGCACCATCTGTAAAGAAAAAATATACGTAGAAAATAAAATTTTTAATAACTTATTTGCATAAAAGGAAAGCCCAATAAATCAGTAAAGAGAATAAGAGAAAAGAAATACGTTGATTTCTACTTAAAGACGTGATATGCTTCAATTTGTTTTTTAATAGATTTTACATAGCATTTAGAGATGTCTCCTCAGAAATTTTTTTTTTCAATTAATGAAATGCATTTTATACTCTTATTTATTTGGCTATAATTTATGCCACTCCAGAAGAACTTTCTTACAGAAAAGTTAACAAAAAAAAAGAGATTAAGAATAAACTAGGTTTCAATACCCAACATTTTAAACTGGCAATTAAATCAATGCATCTGCATCTTTCAGTGGAAATAGTAGAAACTTTTCATAAAAAGCATCTATTCTGCGAAATGTGTATATTTTTTCAATAAAATAACATTCAGTTATTTTTAAAAATAATTGTATACAGTGTGAGTGTGTGTGTGCATATATATATATATAACACATGGATCAATAAGTCCCAAGACTAACAATGAAAACAAAATTTTTTTTGCAAAATTTTTTTTTATTCATCAACATAATCACCTTTTAGGGTGATACAATCGTTCCAACGCTTTTCCAATTTTTCAATACCATGTTTATAAAAAAAATTATCTTTCGCTTCAAAATAAGCTTCAGTTTCAGCGATGACCTCCTCATTTGAGCCAAATCTTTTTCCCTGGAGCACTTTTTTAAGATCAGCAAAGAGCCAGTAGTCACTGGGGGCTAAATCTGGCGAGTATGAGGGGTGGGGAAGCAGATCAAAGCCCAATTCGTTCAATTTTGCCATTGTTTTCATCAACTTGTGACAGGGTGCATTGTCTTGGTGAAAAAGGATTTTTTTTCTCTGCATGTGCAAATAGTGTGTGTGTGTGTGTAAATAGCGATAAACAGCTTTCTGAATCATCGACTTGTTGCTGTTTTTGCTCCATCGAAAGCAATCGCGGCACCCACTTGGAAAAAACCTTTTTCATGCTCAATTTTTCATGAAGGATAGTAAATACACTTCCATATGATATCTGTGTCATCTCAGCAATCTCACGGAGCTTCACTTTACGATCTTTCATTATAATTTTTGACACTTCACTCACATTTTCCAGTGTAACGGCTTCCACAGGTCTACCCGAGCGTTCCGTGTCATTTGTGTCGGTACGACCACATTTAAACTCGGCAAACCACCGACAAATCGTTGCTTTCGATGGACAAGAGTCCGGGTAACATTTGTCAATCCATTGTTTCGCTTGCACGGTGTTTTTACATATTAAAAAACAATGTTTTATCAGAACACGAAACTCTGTTTTTTCCATTTTTTAAACAAACTACAAAACGACTTTACTCCAACCTTGATAACTCAGCTGTTTCTGGTCCAATCGACTTAATCTTTTGACACGTTTCAAGCAAAGGTTAGTACTCTAGAAAGACCTGGTTACTGGTTTACTACGAGCGCCATCTCTGGGTTAGTCTCGGAACTTATTGATCCATGTGTTATATTGGATTTAAAATTCATCCTTAATGAATAATTGCATGTTTAATTAGGTGAAGTATTAAATTAAGAAAAAAATGCAGTGAAAATCATTGTGATTAAAATTCTGCTGCAAGTTGTTTATTTGGCACTATTATTGCACTATTAATGCACTATTTATATTTTAATTTGCACTTGTCATTCAGTATAAAGTGCCATATATGGACCTCTTTTTTACCAGAAACGTTTACAAAACATCTGGAAAAAATAGAAAATTTTATTTCTTCTTACTGCTCCAATACCTAAATATTAATTCCGCTTCGAAAAGACGAGAGCAGTTAATGAAAAGCAAACTTTGGTGAAAATAATAAACTGTGAATATTACATGAAGCTGAATATTAAAAGTGCTTAAAAGAACAAAAAGCAGACAGGCTTTGTTTCCCTTAAAATTATAATTTTTTTTAATAGCAAAATCAACTCAATTCTGTTCCCTGTTTCATTTTTTTTTCTTTATTAAATTAGATTAATTTACTTTTAGAAATTGGGGTCTTCTTTTTAACGTTATTTTAATCCAATTATCTTTCTAGCTAATTCTTTACATCAAATGAGAAAAGAAAAAAAAGAGGAAAACTTGTCTTTATTCACGAAAGAAACATGTTCTTATTCAAATTATCTTCTCCTCACTTATATTTATTTATTAATTTAACATATAAGAAAACATTGTATGAAATAGACATTGATTATTGTTGATTTGTTATTTTTCATTGAATAATGCTTGTTTTGACGATTGATTACCTTAAAGACCTGTTATTCCCGAAAATCTATTATCTGCACTTACCGAAGTCTGGAAAATTCTAGATACAGGACTTTTCACTATATTCCATAGATCACCCCTTGATCTAAACTGGTAAATAGCTAAACTTTACCATCCAAATTCCCAAATTTTCCCAAAAATCCCAAGTTCTACAAATATTATTGGTTTTCCAGTCTTTCCAAAAATGTGTTTTTTGTACTGCTTATGAAAATTAACAATGTGATTTGAATATATAATATAAAATAAATATATCTCAAAAGTTTTATATAAAAAAATAAGGGAAAATACAAGCACCTTTAATTGCATTTTAAAGGCCAGAAAAAATATATTTAATGTAAAATACTGTGGAACTGATACATGCAAAATAATAACAGAGTAGATATTAACTTCGACATAGTATTTATATACTTCGACAATTAAACTGGTTCAATTTTGGTTCAAACATATATACATTCTAAATTACACATATTCAAGTACAAAGTACATACTTTCAAGTTCAAAGTACATACAATACACATTCTAACAGAATTTATTTTCCAATTGCTATAATTAGTCTACAGATTTCACATTGTAAATAAAACGTAACAGACAAATTTTACAACGACATTAGGGATGATATTTTTGTTACCAATTAAAGATTTTTTAAATGTAACTATAAAAATCAGGGATAAAAACCGTAGTGAGGACAGGTTATATATGTGCGTCTTAAGTTTCAGGAAAATTTTTTTAATAAATTTTGATATAAATTTCCTCTTCACATAAAATATTTCTATATAAATATTTCCAAGAGAATAATTCATTTAAAATTCTTAAAATAAGAAAACAAAATGTTTGAAATTGAGAAGTATTTAAAAAACAAAGTGAAAAAAATATAGGAAAAAATAAATAACACATAAAAATTTATTGAAAATATAAGAGTGATAAAATAAAGATAATAAAAATTAATGAAAAAAAATTAATGTAGCCAAATTCTATTGAATTATATTTCCATACCTTGGGAATGTCTGTTCAGTTTGTTAGAACACTTATCTAGCACATATTCTTTTTTTCGAGTCGAAAACCACCTAGTAAAGCCTCCAGTAGCTCTCTGAAACAAAATAAGATTTAAAACTGCATAACAGATGTGCATGTGGATCAAACTGTATTGATGTCTAAATGAAAGTATTATTCAACATCTCAAAGTAACTGCCGAGGTCATACTCACAGGGGGAAGAGACAGGGCAAATTGTTCTGGGCCCAAGATAGTTAAGGGCCTGGTTCAAATTCATTACAAGTACTGAAATGCTTTTAAATTTCTCATATATATGCTTATAAATTTTTGGAATGTTCCACAATTTTACTGTAAGAATTCCCCAGATTTAATTACGTATTAATAAAAATATGAAACATTTAGCTTTAAGTTAAAATAAATCTATGGGACCCAACATCCTGAGTCCAACCTTGGTAATTACAAGTGAGCTAACAGCAATTAAACAAAATTCCACACATTAAAAAAAGCACAGAGACTATACAAACTATAATGAATAAATAAGAAAAAACATCAGGAATAATTTTGAATGCATTAAATGCCAATACTTTTTACACAAAAATTTTTAAAAGAATAATAAATGCAAAGTAGAACTTTTTTTAAACAAAAAAATCTCAAAAATAACTTTTGAAAAGGTTTTAAACCTTGATTAAGAAAGGGATTGTAACAATAACAGTTAAAATTCTGTAGAAAATGGTTAGCTTTTTTTTATATTCTAAGCATTAAAAAAGCATTAATATTAATAGAAAACACAATATTATAAAATAAAAAATAAAAACATTATTCTAAGTATATAATAAATAAATTATGAGTAAATACTCAAAATAATTAGCCACTACAAAAAATTTTTATAAAAACTCTTACTTGTGTTTTATATTTCTTAAATAATGATACAATATCATGAAAAGGAAAAAAAAATCATAAGTCAATTTTTTCCTGTTTAATGTTTTCTAACAACCAAATTTTGGAATCTTTGACACAACAGCAGTTGACTATACCTGTATTCAATGTGAGCTTAAACGGCACATGCACTAAAAGTAAAACAGCGTTTGGGTAACATCAGCTCTAATAATGATGAATCCTGTGTATGAACACTTTAAACATGCAAAAAAGAGGTGTAAGATAACTCAAGGGTCACATGATCAATTGTCAAATAATCAAAGTTTTACTGTAGCTAGCTGTATATGTTAAATTAAATTTGTTCATAACATATTTGAAACAATTTTCTGTGTCAGTAAAATGAAGTTTCAAGAGAAATTAAAGGTGCTGCGTTTTTTTAAATGATATGTAACAAAACAATAACTATAATTGCAAATTTACAATAAATAAAATTTTAAAAAAAAATTTATCAGAATTTTTTTTAAGACTCTGCAGGTGCAGATTTTATAAATTAGAACAATAAAAAAAATTAAAACTTTTTGCAAAACGCCAATAATTTTTTTATTATTATTATTTTAAGAAAATAATAGTTTCATTTAAAGGAAAGAAAAAAAATTGGTGCAAAAACATCTAGCTTTAAAAACACTTGAAATTTTAAGACAGATTTTAAACAAAAGCAAATTAATCTAAAACAGAATATCCAATGCAAAAAAATGCAAAATTTAATAAATATTACCTAAATAATGCATTTATTTAAAAAATGTTCAATTCAAAAAATATGATTGTTGCATGGTATTTTAATAGTAATACTTTATTTACATCGTACGAGAACTGCACAATGGGCTACTGACTGCGATCTGGGAAACATCCCTGAAAATGAACTGAAAACATAACATCACATTTTTCGTCTTTCAGAGAGGAGATAGTGCCCCTCTCCCCCTCACAGGTAGCCTAATGACAGGTAGACTCAGAAATGGTAGAACAGTTTAACAAGGACTGATACTGCACACCTTTGGTCCCTTCACAGGCTGATCAAAGTGGTTTTATACCCACTCACTGGCTGCAGCCAGAGGTGCCTTACTTCAGTGTTTATTGGGTGTCTTTATGATCAGTCTCTGTGGGACACATGGTATTTTTGAAAAAAAAATTATTGACAAAGAATTTTAATTAAATTTAATTAATTAGTGCATATACCTCATTTTCTTTGCCTTTCTTTGAACTTTTTTTCTTTTTACCCATAAAACGAGCAGCAAGTTTAACTGCCCCAGTTTCTTCTTCTGCATCTTCACTACCAGAGCTTATATACTGATCAGCAGAAACTTCAGAATCAATCCAACAGCCCGCATTTGAAAACTCTTCATCGGTTTGATGCAAATCTACTTCTTCATATATATTGTCTTCAGGTGTAGCTAAACCTATTAAAATTTAAAAATGTTCTTAGTAATATATCCTTAATAGTTCATGCTGTCCTAGAGTTTTCTTTTTATACTTATCAACAAAAAATAAATTTTATGTATTCACCTGTTTGAATATTAGTAAATTAATCATTTTAAAATACTAACATTTAATAATGAGGCTAGAGTTATCCTATTTTTAATACTACCATCAATAGTGATCAGAATGAAAAAAATAAAAAGGTAATGTAAATGTAGCAATATTAATAATAAGGTTAAAAGAGTGAATCAAAGGTCTGTATCAATCTTAATGAATATGGATCAATAAACCTACAAATTAAAAATAATTGGCTTTCATAACCTTTGTTTTTGTGTAAACAATCCATAAAGCATAACTCTACACTGCACAAAATCACATTTGAAAATATTAAAATCTACTTCCATTTTTTCAATCAAATTTAGTGACCACACATTATGATATCAGTTGGCTCTAATTTACTAATTTGTAGAATGTAAAAAAATGTGTAGCTGCGTGTTGTATTTCTAACCTTTTCATTGAAATTATGCATTATATATATAGTATGTCAGCAGTCATCTCAGGTCCTATGCAATGGGATCTCTTTTTTAATGCATTTAAGTATGTGTGACTGACTTCACAAATTTTACAAAATAATTTTTGTGCTAATAATATTCCAAATCATTTGGTGAAAAAACTTGAACTTTTAAAAATCATAAAATTTTTTTATAACAGTAATTAACAAAGGAATAAGTTGATCGTAGAAGTCTAATTTCCAACAAATTTGCATAAACTAACCTTAGTATTAAGATCTCAATAGATTGTATACTAACTAATAGTTATAAATTGAAAAATTAAAAAATTACAATAAAATTTTGATTGAAAACACTATCATAAAATTTCAATAAAATTTTTAATGGGTATTTAAAACATTTTTCTGATTTCTGAGTCACAAGTTCACTTTAAATATCCAGAGATTCCTTTTTTAAGCAATTAAAGAAAATAATCTAAAAACATAATCTAATAATCTAAAAACGGATATAATGCATATCTAGTTTTTCACTAAAGTAAATTTTTTAATCTGGCTATTTTTAACGGCATAAGCTTTAAAAAATATAAAATAAAAGTATTAAAAACAAAACAGTGATTTTAAAGTAAAAATGTTCATATTTAAAAAAATTAATAAATAAAACTCCAGGCAGAAGAATAAAATGAAACATACAGTAAAAAACAGGGTGGCAAAAATTTAAATCAGACGTTTTTTTTTTTTTTTTAATTATTGATTGATATCAGTAAAATGAATAATTATTAAGATAATTTGCAAACACTTACCTCCTGAAGTGATAAAAAAAATTACATTTTTTTAACAAGCTTATTACAAGAGTCTTAATTGTCTTTACAAAATAAGAGGGGTGGTAGTACCAATATCACCATGCAATAGTTACCATAGCAATATTTACTATGGAACATAGGGTTGCATTCCACTATGAGAGGCATAAAATATTATAATTAGAATTTCAACATAAGCTTTTAACAAAGTTAAGAAGGCAAATGGATGATACCAAAAGTTGCACAATCTGATAGATTGATCAGAGAAAAAACTCACAACTGCTCAAAGTAGCAGCCCCACATATCATTGCACAGTTCACACAGATATAGAAATAACTGGTGCAAACTCACAACTGCTCAAAGTGGCAGCCCCACATATCATTGCACAGTTCACACAGATATACTAATAACTGGTGCACACTCTTAACCTTTTCACGAGGGCTCAATAGGAAGAAATCTAGGTCTATTGAGCAATTCTTTACGCGGTTAGGTTTCCGCTGATCATAAAAACAAAGTAGGTGACAAGTGTGAAACAATCTAAACATCCCACTGTTTTTCTTAACTCTGATAGCTACTTCTTAGACCATCATAGTTAGGGATAGTGGGAGAGAAACAAGAGAAGGTTCCCCACACTTTTGCATAATTTGAAAAAGAGAGGGAAATCTTCTTCGGTGGTTGCATTAGATTCAGCGTAAAAGACAGAAAAAGAAAAAAAACCATTTCCCTTATCGACTTTCTAAATGATCTAGCTGGTCTGAGTTATAGCAATTTACACAGGTTTGTGGATACATCCATTAGCACTATTTAACACTTTTCTTAATTGTTTTGTTGTTTTAAGATTTATCAATACAGAATATTGATCAAACATATTAATGTTCATACATATATTTATGCCAAAAATAAATAAAAAAATGAAAGAAATAAGAGAAACAGCTTTTTTTCTGCTGTTATATCAATTAGCAAATTATTCCGATTTCGCCCAAAAATAAATTAAATTATAAAGTTCTAGTATATAATATAATACAAAGTTTTAATAATTATAATTATTAGTCTCTATAATAATAACTATTTAATATACTTCAATTAACATTTGCAATTTTAGTAAATTTGTTAAACATTTAACGTTTTATTTCTTCAAAAATCTTAAGTCTTTTAACCACATATTTATTATAAAATAAATTTTAAGCAATTTAAAATGTGACTTGTCATTGTTTTACAATAAGTCTGAGTTATAGTAGTCGCTGATACAAGAAATTTTTTTTTAAAACTTCAAATAGTAATTATTTTAATGTACTCTTCGATTTTAGTTTTCATTTTTTGAATGATAAATCTTTTAAACTTAGAAAAAATACCGGTCACTTCAATAAATGAAAAATAGTTTTTTCACTTTATTTACCAGTCTTATGTTTCCATTATTATTCTTAATAAAACAAAAAAAAAAAAGTGGGGAAAATGAAGATAATTCTGTCATAACTCCTGGCTCATTTGACTGACCCATTCTCAAGTAAGCACAGTCAATGCAATAAAATAAGATATTGTAAATTTTGTATTTTGTGTGATTTAAAAAAAAAAATTAACATAAATAACATTTTTAATCATTAAAAAAAATTATACAGCATTTTTAATTTTAATTTTCTAATTAGCATGTGGCAGTTAAAATCACTCCCTTAAAAAAATTAAATGTTTTAGCCTATTTCTAAATTTATAACATGCCACTTAGTATTTTCTTACTTAATATCTTTGTTAGAATGTAATAAGTCTTCCGATTTTCAAAGGATTTTCAACTTTAAAATTAATCTTCTACCGCATAAAGCACAAAAACTTTAATTACTTTGCGTCAGTTGCAAATGATTCATATATCACATTTAGATTCAAATTATCATGTCATTTTCCTTTTGAACCAAATTTCATAAAAAAATACATCTTGTTGCTGTGTAGAACAGATTATAGAAATTATTCTTTTTGTATTTATATTCTTGAAATATAGTCATTGATAATTTTCAACAGCTCACTTATTGCTTTTATTTCAAAATTGACTTAAAACTTATGAATTAATAAATTTATGTTTTCAAAAAGCATAAGAGAAAAAAAAAGGGGGAAATTTGCCACAGATAAATGGTTAAGTAGCAGAAAAAGTTTAAAAGAATTACGTATATATATATATATATTATAACTCTACATAGATAACAAAAATAGCAAACAAAACCTAAAACTTTTTTTTTTATTATTTACTTTCAAGAACGCTTCTCTATTATAATTACTTGATATTTTTTATGTATAATTGAAATTGCTATTGACTAAAAAAATATATAAAAAAATAAAAAGAAAAGAAAAATAGCAAACAAACATCTGAATACCCTAACTTGGAATATATGCTCAAAAGTATGTAGGAAATGCAATGAAACTATTCTCCCTTAATCTTAAAGAAGGTGAGACCTCCCGCAGCGACTACAACAATAAAACGTATTACAATGTATTTGTATTTTAATATTCTCTCTTAACTGTCGAGAAGATTTCTACTCCCATTCTTAAGCTGAAAGTGTCACAAGCCCCTAACAGGACCCGAACTACAGATGTGACAACTGTTGCCACAGCCCCTGGGAAAAAGGAAAAGATTACTGGTGCTGTGCTAATTCTGTCTGTAGCAGCAATTCTTGTGACAAGAGCTTCAACAGATTCGACATGCTTTCATATACTTAAGATTTCATATGCCTGCAGAAGAAAAAGTCCAGAATGGGAACAGTGGAATGCTGTGAGTAAGATGGTCAAATCACAGGTCTGCTAAGATTCTACTCTTTTCAGCCTCTTATTGTGGAATGTGACCCATGTTCCATTGTAAACATCGTTTATCTCAATGAGTACCATCACAACTCTTATTTAATACAAATAATTTAGACTCACCCTGCACACTAACTAACAAAAAAATTTCTATCGCTTTTTAAAACTGTACAAAGGTAAGTGATAAATATATGTAAACAACAGGTATTAGGTCCTTTTCCAATATCTTGCATTTTTATATATACTGTGAATACATCTGTATAAAAAAGTAAAGTTTTTTTCTTTTCATAGCCCAGTTTCAATTAATGTATTCAATTATATTAAGTAATTGAATACATAAATAATTCGGAAAAAGCTGGAAAATGCTTTAAAAGTTGTGCTTAAAAGCCAATATTGATGCTTGAAATTCCTCCCTCCCCTGAGTTTTAGCCAGGTAGCTGTAGTTAGCCGTCTTAACTTTACTAAGGGGGTCAAAGGTGAGAGGCAAACTTCAAAAAGTCGCCAATGATAGAGCAGACCAGTTAAACAAAGACGTGACTTGCCTTGATATTGATCTTTCTATATCTGTCCCGCTGTCAGACTGGAAATATGCAGCTAGGGAAAAAACTATTTCAAACTGGAATGCTGAATTCTTCAGGGTGGCCACTCAAAACAGATTTCAAATTTCCCTGATTTTTCCAGGTTTTCCAGGTAAAAATCTTAAAATTTCCAGGTTTGTGTTTTTTTCCTTTTTTCTTATAAAGTGTAGGATGTGTACAAGAAAAGTGTCTGCATTAAAAAATATCTTATTCAAAATGTCATTTTTTTAAACATATCTTGAAAAAAAAAATTTTTTTTTACAAGATATTTTTTTATTATTTTTTAATGTTCTGGTACAACATTAATTTTTAAAAAATTAAGACGTGGAGAAAATAATATGTTTAGCTTGCAGAATATATTGTTTTTATTGAATAATTTTAATTGTTTTTATTGAATTTAATGTGTTACTTTAAGTAGTATTTGCTCAAAGTGTACCTACAAAATGACAAAATCAGAATAACCAATAAAACCTTGTATAAGTATTGTTTAATATATTTTCATTAAGGAAAAGAAAACCGTTTCAGGTGATTATATATCAATAATTTTTAATAATTACAGTGGCTCCCAAAAGTGCTCACTCACTTATAACTTATATTGAAATAGGAAATAAAAATTCAATAATTAAAATGAATATTTCACAATGGGTATTTGATAATAAGATGTATAATCTATTCTTAGCAAAACTGCACGGAATATTTTAAAAACAAAGCAAAAGTTAATTTTTTAATCAAATAGTAACAAAAATGTTACCCCACGAAAGTCATCGTACATTTAAATGTTTTGGATCTCAGAATTAAAATTATCGTCAATTGCTTTTTTTATTTAATTATTTTTCATTTAATTTTTTATTTCTTTATTAGCAATTTAGTATCAAACCTATAATAGCAAAATTATATTTTAATTTTTGCTTGCTAACTCCGTAATATTTTATTTTATCATTTAAAAATGACTTGTGGTCGTAATAAAATAGACCAAATTTGATTATTTGTCTTCATAAGAGGTAAATCAGTAATGAATATGTTAAATTAGTTTACTGTATTCAATTGAACTGTGCAATATGTGATAAAATGCTTAAAAGAAGGACTTCATATCAGAGATTAAAATTATAAATTTTGTGGAAAAATTCATAAATTTGCAATTGAGTGCTGTAAAAGTTTCTGTAAAAATTTTAAAAAAATATTCTGCACGAATTTCACCTGAAAAAAAAAAAACTAGTTACACGTATTTTCAACCTTTAAAAGCTATTGTAGATGTTAAAAGAAACTCCACTAAATGTTAATTTAACGAAAAGTTAGATTTACTAATAGACTGAGTTTTTTCTTTAAAAGTGTATGATGACTTTTGTGGGATAAAGTTTTTGTCACTTTTTGATGATTGATTCCTTAAAAATAAACTTTTCCTTTGTTTTCAAAATATTTCATATTGTCATTTAAAATATTTCAGTTTTGTAAAGATTAGAACACATTTTTTATCCTTAAATATATATTCTGAAAGATTTATTTTAATTAATGGATAGTCTTATTTCATTGAAAGTCATAAGTGTATCAACACTTTTGTGAATCACTTTAATTACATTTCAATATAAAGCTGTACTGTATACTGTATTTCATCTTACCAGAGCTTTTTATGAAATTCACTGATCAAATTTTCCTTAAACCAATATCTCAAGTCAAATTTTTAAATAATGGTATTTTAAAATAACATTTTTATTTTAAGGGATTCAGCATAAAAAAATAAATGTCAGAATTGTAAAATTGTCTAATTTTCAGTTCTATACTCTATAGAAGAAAAAAAATAAAAAAAATTCCTTTAAATTTATACTTTTTTGATTTTTTTTTCCTTATTTGAAATTAAAACATTTAAAGAATTCCAATCTAAACACACAGTTTTTTAGTTTAGCATAGTTAATTGTTTTTGTTTGAACAACTGGAATATTGTACAGTGCAGAACTAAAACACTAAGTTTTGTTTTCCTTCTTCTGACTAAACACATATGAAGAAAAAAAATTCTATTTTATGTATATACATCATTTAATATGTTTCCTATATATTCCTTAGTCATTGTCAGCTTTTTTAGGTAAAAAGATGAATAGTTTTGAAATATCATCTCTGGAATGCAAGCAGCATTTACAAACTTTCCATATTGTAATAACTATACAATTCAAATTTTGAATCAAAAACTAATACTTACCAACAAAACCGTAAAATTTGATATTAATATATAGTTAGTTCTAAAAAAAAAACTTTTTTCAAAATAAAAATATACTATAAAAGGTTAAAATGAAATGTGTGATTGGTTGGTTTGCTGAGAAAAAATAATTTACAGATTTCTTTGAATGGGAGTTCAAAAGCTTTCAGAAAAAGAGTGCATTATAAAATCTATTGTTATTAAATTATAATCAACTAATTTTTAGAGAATTTAATAAAGTTGAAAATACAAAAACATTTTGTTAAAATAGAAAAAAATTACCGCTCCCAATTGCGAACAAACTTGAATCATTCTGTGTGAACACGGACAGAATTCAAAAACCGAATCCTAACCCCGTCTTCCACATCCACCATAATCTTTGCCCTTCCTAAATTGCACAGTCCCATAGTCTGCATAGAGATCAAAGACATTTGCTTAGCAACCATGGGAGAATTTTATGTTGTATTCTAGTTTAACAGGGTTATAATGGAGCAAATTTTGATGAAAGCAAAGTAAGTTGATGATATTTTAACTGTTTGGAGATACATTTCCGTCTAAAAAATGTGGGTATAATGGATGAAACAATTTAAATTAAGAAAATTAGCAAATAATTTAAATTAGTGAAATTAAAAAAAATATATAAGAAAAAATTTCCAGCTTTTCTTTAAAATTTCCAGGTTTTCCAGGTTTTTATCCATATTTCCCTGATTTTTCCAGGTTTTTTCCAGTATAAAAAAAATTCCCTGATAATTCCAGGTTTTCAAGGTTTTCCAGGTAGGTGGCCACCCTGTTCTTAGCTTCACCAAAAGCTGTGTGGACTAAAAGAGTTCCTCCAACTATTTTTCAACGGTTGAAAAGTAGAAAATTTTTTACTGACTTTAAATTATTTCAGATTCCTACAGGATAAGGAAATTTCAACAGTTACTTGTTTGGGTTTAATTTAGTGAATTGAAATCTTTGTTCTTTTAGTCTGAACTATAGAGTACATTATATTTTATTTTAATTTATATTCAAGTCAAAAAGAAAGCTTAAAAAAGGAACTGAGACACTCAGGCATTTCTTGGCCACCTATTTTGTCCTTGCTTGTTAAATGCACTAAAAACCTAAATATTTTATGCAATTTTGTTTACAGCTTAAACTTTTAATTTTGCACAATTTTTTTTTTTTTTTTTAATTTACAATTCTATTTTGTCCATTTACATCTGTAAACCTCATGCTACAATTTGTGGATCAATTGAGGAGCTGTGATATAAATTTAAATAAAAAAGAGAAGAAAAAAACTCAAAAATGCTAACTAGATAAGTGAATAACCCTCTTTATGCTGAAAGGAACAAAACTAAACCTAAGTTGACAGGACCCACAGTTTAAAATTTACAGGATTTTATGAAAAAAACAGTACAACTCTTGATTTAGGGGAGAGTCGGGTAGCCCCGCCCACTTAAGGAGTATTGCTTATATTTCTGTATAATATTGAGTAATAATCAATATTTTTGTATGTTTCTATTGTTTTATCATCTAATTAAATAATGCAAAAAGAATAAACCAAAAAAAGAATAGTTTAATTTAAAAAAATAGAAATTTAAAAAATTTGACTACTGAATTCAACATATTTTCAACTGCATAAATACTTGAAACTTTGAAAATTATCTTTTTTTAACATAACAATTAATGTCCGATGGCCCATTGACTTGAAAAAATATTCTATACATATGAAATAGACAGTGGGTGGGGGTACCCAACACTCCCCTACACATTTTTTACTTGTTTGACATTGATATGTGGATAAATGATGTATTGGTATCTTTTTATGCTGAATCAAATGAAACCAAATGTTAGTTGTAGTTTAGAAATTAAAAGAGTTAATCCATATTATGTATAAAAAGTACACTTTATTTACATAACTGACATTGCTATTTAGACCCGATGTAATTGTTTCTTTTGCTTTAAATCAAATCTAGTGAATTAAAAATTAAGTTAATAGAACTACTAGTCTCTAATCTACAAGGATTTTTTGTGCAAAAAAGACTAAAATAAAATATAAAATTTTTGCACACAGTTTTAAATTTATCAGTTCTACTGATTTAAGTTTGGCCTCATTTAATTTAGGATAAAATAATGCATAGGAAACACGACGTCATTCCTCTAGACAATAATATCAGATATGTTAAGGTAGGCAAGTTATAAATAATAGTAATAGCCACAACATATACTTTACAAAGTTCCTCTTGAGGTGCAATAAGCAACAAACTTTTTAACAGGGAAAAAATTTTGAATAAGTTTTTCTAACAGAAAATCAAATGAAGTTCAAAATTATAACTTACATGTCTTTAAAAAAAATTACATCTATTAACGAAATAATATGATATTATTAAATAATGAAGGGTCTGAATAATAAGCATAGATCAAGCAGAGTTCGCAGAAGTAAGACAATAGTGAATGAAAATATTTTCTGTGTGAGACCAGCATGCTATAATAATTATAATACCATGCAATTACAGCTTCTTTTTTTTTGTCATTAACTTTCTGTAATTAATACAATGAACTTAATGAAATAATGAATTATGCAAGAGAAGAATATTAATAATTACAAAACTTAATATTCAACTGTAACATGTAGCTGCAATGTTTAAATTTTGATTATTAAAATATATATTCAGGAACAACCTAAACAATTGTATTAAGGAGATGAATGTAATTAATTACCCAAATAAAATGAGCAGCAACTTGTATTTAGAAGATTAGTTGTTAAAAACGAGCATTGCAATTATGATGCTTCAATGCTAACTGATGCAACCAGAAGTGTTACATTAAACAAAGTTCACAGTCAACAGATATATAATGTAAAAACTAATATAGTTTATTCGGTGTCCTTCTAAAAGTAACATTATATATAATAAATATAGATAATCAGTAAAAATAGTTGATAAGATTTGGTAAATTTTTTTCTGAATTCAGAATGTATTACAAAGAGAAAAATAGAAATCGTCCATAACAAGGAAAAAGGTGTAAAAAATTAAATGGAATTAATGGTTATTATTAATAGGCATATTAGTCAAATAAAAGCAAGGCAAGAAAAAAAAGCAGCACCACCACCAACCTCGCGAAGAACATTGTAGCCGATGAGCATCATCATAAAGCATGTATGACGGTTCTTCACTTGTTTCTCCAGCATTAGTAGATTCGCTGAATTTCTGGAGAACTAAAATCAGAAAGAGCTCTTGAAAGACTTTAAAAAGAAAAAAAGAAGAGAAAAGGCCAAAGCATGCAGTACCAAGTTTAAGCACACAAAAATATTATGAGCCTTACAAAAAAACAAAAAAAATTACCAGAAAAAAAAACTACTCTAAGAAATATGCTAATAAGCACTTTTATTAGCAAATGTAATTTAAATACACTAAATACTATCAGTGCTAATTAGCAATATTTCTTAAATTAAAAATTATGTATTCACTGACAGCACTTCTAACTTTAACATATGAATAATATTGAATGATTTGTTGGAATAGAAAAAAATTCAAGAGAGAAAAAATCAATGAACGTATATTTTCATAGAAGCATTCTTAAAAGAAACAAACAAAACTAACAAAATAGTAGCAAAAGGTTTTGATGACTAAACAAATAACAGAAACTATACACATTGGGTAATATAAACCACTTAATAAAGCACCCTACAACAGAGAAAGAAAATTTAAAAATAAATAAATAAATCTAATAAAAGGGAATAAAATGAAATTCTCTCAGCATCCTCATATATTTTTTTAGTTTCATACTTAGAAAAAAAACTAACAAAATTAAATAAATAAACAGGATAATTATAAATTTGAACATAAGCAGAATAAAAATTTTAAAAAAAAGGTGTAAAATGTGCAAAATCATCTTTTTTAAGGCCTAAAATATGTTTTCCCAAGTATCATAAAGAGAAAATATAAGTTTCAAATTAAATATAGATTTCTATTTATAGTATTAAGAAATAAATTATATAACCTAACAAATTCAACTTATAAAGATTTTCAACTCTATCAATTCAGATAATTTTATATAAGAAAGTAAAAAATACTCTTATTCCATAACAAATATAAAAATAATAAAGTTAAAAATAAAAAAATTACAAGTATAATAAAAGTTTAAATAATGTAAAAAAAAAGTTTTTATTACTTATTAATTTTTAACATATATTAACATTTTTTATACAAAAATTACCTGGTAGTAGATAGTTATACATTAAAAATCTAATCAAAGTTATTAATTAAAATTAACTATTTTTTTTATATTATTAAAACTTCAGTTATAATATTATTTGATAATTCAAATCAATTATTCTCACATATAAAAAAGACTTTTTATTGATTAAAAAAAATCAAATAAAAAAGCAAGTTTAAATGAGTATACCTTTACATGCTTAAGGTATTGTTAATAATTATATATATATTATTAGATATATTACATATATAGAGATTATAAGCATACCTTTTTGACCATAATCAGAAGCAGCTTTACCACCAGGACAAAAGTCTGATTGCTGTAAAATATATTCATTCATTACACGGAGGCCATGACTAGTAGTTGCTGCTTTAGGCATAGTGCCACACAAACTACCACCACCTTGCCAATGTGAAGAGGCAAAGTATAAAGGTGGCGTCCCAGGACTAAGAAAATGCAACGCTTTAGCTTCAGAATTAGAACGCTCAGCAGCAAACTTATTTGTTTCAGAATTTAACTCCTCTAAGCATACAGTTTCTTCAGGCATTAACATAGCTTCCACATCTAAATTGAGATTTTCTAAAATTTGTACATGCCTTTGTTGTACTTTTTCAACCTCATCCAAAACAACCTTAGAGGACGAATAAGTTGAAGATCCATTACATTCATGAGGCTTAGGTGGCCATCTGTGTGATGCATAACCATCTCTACTTTCAGTATAACATGACAAATCTTCATATGATTGTTCAGGAATTTCTTCATATATATTTGGTTCAGAGCTGCGCCTTTTATGATTTTGTTTTTTAGTTTTTTGAGGAGAGTTAGAAGCTCCTTCTCCAGTAGATATTGCTTCCTTATGAGCATAAATTGCTTGAGAAGAAAGTCGAAGACTGTTAGTAGTTAGAGAATTTGATCTGAGATATGTAGGTGTTTGAAAAGTTTTTTTCTTTTTCTTCTTTTTCTGAAAAGTTGAGGCTTTTCTAGGAATATCACACGTGCTAACATCAGGCTCTATTGCCAGCAAAGGATTATCAAAACCGTGTCCCTTTTCATTAGGAGTTTCTGCTTTATTCAAATTATTCTTTTCAGCATCAGGAACAGTGCCTTTCTTTAATTCACTGTAATAATATGGAACTGCCATTTTTTAAAAACTATCGTCATGATACACAACAAATTTCCATTTTTTTGTAAAAGCAGTCTTAACAGAAATGACTAAAATAATTCAATGCAATACAGTGATTTGTCAGAAATAACATAAAATGTACATTTCCACCATGTTAGGTATTGTTATAAGACATCAGTATATTCTTCATCTATAAGAGGAAAATAACAATATAAATATATACAACAATACACAACAATATGCATATAAATAATACTGCATGAAATAAAATAATATTCATTGATAACATATATTAAAATTTAGGAATATTTTTTTTCTGTTAAATTGTTCTTTCATATAAATGTCTCTATTTTGAAAATATTAGTTTAATCATAGATAAAAATATATTGCATAAAAAAATAACAGTAATATTAGAAAAAAATCATTAAAATAAACTGAAAATTAAAATTCAAGATAACTTCTCATTTCCATCTATGTTCTTGATTGTAGCAAGCATAATGTATTGTTTCACAATATGAAGAAACAGTTCAAAAAACTTTTGCTCTGAACTCAATCTATAACTATAGTATTTTACTAATTTTGGGAATTATCAAAACATGGAATTGGTGATGATCTGTTTTATTTCAAACACTTTTTAGAAACATTATGACTTAACTTTACACACATTAGTTTATTATATATATATACAGTGAAACCTCCTGTTATGGACACTCCTGCAAAACGAACACCTCTCAATACGGACATATTTTTAATTCCCTGGGAATCTTCCATAAATAAACCATTATGTACATTCTCCGCAAAGCGGACACTCCTGTAACCGGACACGGACCGTCATTTTGGCCTTGAAACGTTTTTTTCTATCTCTTCAAACCAGACACTACTTTTTCTAAATTTGAAAAAAAAAACTATTTCTGCTTTAAATTGCAAGGGGAAAAAATTCAACTTTTCTTTATATATACTTTTTTACCTTTCTTAAAGTTCAAATAAATATCCTAGTAAATAGTTATTGTAAATTATTGAATTATTTCTACATCTTTGAAAATATTCTAAAAACAATTAACAGTGTTAAACTTCGTTATTAGGGTATCCTTCCCGTAAGCGAACAACTCTCATAAACGGAAAATTTTTTCGGTCCCAAGGATGTCCGCTTAACGGAGGTTTCACTGTATTTGAAAAGTGCAATAATGTACATTCAGAGATACATAGACTTACAGTAGCAATTCAAAATTGGAACTCATAATTGAATTCAAAATAGCGAACTCAAAATTGAAGATTTTTATAGAAATTTTTATATACATTTTGTCAATCGGCTATATAAAAAGAAACTAAAAGGTACTTGTATAAATAATAGAAAGGTTAATTATTACAAAGATTTTTTCATTAAAAAAACAGGGATGGTTATTATTAAAAAATAAGTTTAGTTAAAATTCTGGTTTAAGTCATGGTTTACCTTAATATAATACTTATCTAAGATTCTATTTCCTCCTTTGAAATTGAGAAAATTTGTTTCATATTATTACAGACATTTACTGGTTTTGCAGCAAGCATTTTAATTTCAGTTTAGAAACTTGTAAAAATTTTATGTTTACAAATTATCTGTTAATGATAAAATTTTACAGTATGTTATTTTAAGCTGTTGATCACTTCTCTTCTAATATCTTTAAAAACTATTAACTTTAGTTCAAACTGATAGAGGGACATCTGAAGAACAGAACTTATTTAAAGATATAGATGAGTTTTCACGCAAATTTCTGCCTTCATATGGCAGTTTTTTCATGGATAACAAAACAATTTCCGTAAAATAACTAAATAGAATAAAAATACATGTTTGATATAAACATTAAAAACACTTTAAATTACCTATATAGATATAAATTTTACACTTTCATTTATATTTCAAATAAACCTAAAACTATTATAGTTTCCATGCTTTTCGATGAAATTATGAAGAGATCAATGAAATATACTGCATTCAAAGTGAAACCTACTTTTGATAGCCATGAACATTTTTTACACTTTAATTTATGGAGAAAAAAACATTTTTTAGCATGTATTTTTTTAAAATATAATCAAGAAACATTTAATTAAGCAAATTTTTACTTTGAAAACAGTATTTACAAGTTTTTTAGTGAAATATACACTAATTTTAGAGCTATAACCACTGTAATATGGGGTAAAGTAGGTATATCAAAACATGTTCTTTTAAATGCATTACTGTAAGAAAACTATCAAACAAAGTAGACGAGCTATGCTTCATATTTATTCAATATAAATCCAATGCATATAAATTCATCAAATATTCAGTAAAATAAATTTAATGGTTTGATTTTAGAGCCAGCTTTAAGAAAAATTAAAAAAACTTGATTTTATACTCACTATACCCCACCCGACTTTATTAATTTTAAGAGCATTTTATAAACCTGCAAATTGACTAATGTGTGAATTGTCTTTCGTAAATGTGCAATTGATATTTATTTTTACAAAATCCCAAATCATATTTAACAAAGGCAATTAAAATTATTATTCTTACAAAAAGTGAAGACTAAAAGCATAACAAGTTTTTTTTAGGAAACATCAAAAATATCTGAAATAATAGTTACCATTTAAGCAGTGATACATTAAATCCATAAAAATATTCAATTCTAAAGTTGTGAGTTTTCAACACAGCTCAAATAGGTTGTTTTTAAAATTGGTCGATTGTTTTCAACAATCAACAATAACTTCAAAAACAATGAATCTTGGAAAAGAGAATTAGTGCCATTTGAAGTCTTGGATCAGGGTAAAAAATATTTATTTGTAGTGGATCATTTAACTTTTTGCATTTCCTATAAAAAAAAAATGAAATTGATGAGAAACTACCATTTTATTTGTATAAGAAGTAAATTACATATCATTATTAACCTCTTCATAACCTTGGTCCACATATGTGGACCTTCGCTTTTTAGCTTCAAAAAAGAGACTATAAGAAAATTTATTTTACCCTAACTGGAACATTCATGGACATTTAAGTTTTCCGGAGATTCCAATCGATGCAGAACATGTAAATTAGTTGGTTAGAATTTCACATAAACAGAAGTGACTTTCGAAAAATGATGCCTAATCCACGAGCTCAAAAATGTCAGTTACTTCAAATGTTATATAATTCAGTTATTCTAAAAAATAAAATAAAAAATTCTTTTGACTAAGTAGTTCAGTGATCTATAGGAAGCTTTTAAATTTAATACAATCAAGAACATGCAGGTCCACGTATGAGTAACTTGGTATGCATGGCGAAATTTATAACAGTTTAGTAAGTAATCAAGTGAAATATCATAATATTATGAGTATTTAATTTTATATCTATTTTGAAATATTTTTATGTGTATTTTAATGAATTGTTTTACATTAAGGTACATACATATATTTAATTACTTTTCGATAATTTTGAAATTTTACCCCCAAGAGTTAGATATTTTTTATAATTAATGTTAGATTCTTTTCAATAATTATTTATTTTGTATGGTTTGCATAATTAAAATAGTATTGATAAAACTTAATGGAGTATCGCATTGTACATAGAAAAAACTTTGTATTTTTCAATTCCAAAAATTGTTAATTCTATTAATCATTGTATTTAAATCGACCATAATAAAACAATAAGTAAGTTTGTTCCTATTTTATGTGCAATTTAACATTTAAAATATTTATGCTATTTTATTTAGTTAAGACCTGAGGTCCACGTATATATATCTAAAATTATTAGCCTCCTGTCAATAGGAATGCATACTTTATCTTATAATGACTGTAAAATTGAAATTCAGAACTGCAAAATATTTTTTTGCTATGTTACTACCTACTTTAGTCGTGAAGAGGTTGAAGATTTGGAAATGGTTCAAATTTAAATATTATCTAAATTTTGGCATGTAATAAAGTTATAATTGTATTTTTTCAATTTTTTACCTATTCAATTACTATACATACTTTGTAAGAAGCCAAAATGACATTGGTGCGACGGTGAAATGGTCGATGAAAGAAAACGTAAGTACCCATTTTTCTTAATGGGCAAAGTAATAGAAAATAATTCCTTAATTTAAAATAATTATATTGTTGGCTCTAAATTCTGTTCCTGGCAAGGCAACTGATGTTTTTAAACTAGGTGCTTGACTTTTAAAACCATTATGAATAACTATTATGAAAAGTTTTCAAGTTGATCAAGCTCTAAATAATTATATTCATACGTAATATAGTTTAAAATTTAATCAAAACTCAACTTGCTGAACTAGAAAAGCAAAGTTGAAATCAAATAGCTTCAGATTCTAACAAAACTACAAAATCAAGTAATTATATAAAACTAAAAAAATAAAAGTTTCAAGAATCGTTTCATTATAAGGCAGTTTGAAACCTAGAATAATGGCTGGCTTTTAAAAAATCATGTCAAAAATAGGGAATACATTTAAATATTCTAATTAAAACATGCATGATCTACAAGAAATATGACAGTGTCTTACAACTGAAATCTAATAACTTTCAAACAAAAACTAAGCAGTTTTTCTTCCATCATAAGGCTACATAATAAATTTTTAAAATGTCAAATATTATAGTCTAACATAAAGACTTCATAACTTTTTAAATTCTATTATTTCTTTGAAAGATAATAAAATAACTTTAACAATTTAAAAACAGTAGTTGATAAATGGAGTTTAGGACACATTAGGTATAATTTAGAAGTTTTCTATCAATTCAATTTGAATGAATTTTAATACACCAAGTTCATCTTAAATTGTTTATACCAGTCTGATAATCGAAATTAAATGTTTCGCAGTTAGAAGCATCGACATATATTGCATCATTATTTGGAAAAAATAAAAATATGAATCTAAGAAATTAAATGACTAGTAAATACCATACATAACACTAGAGGAAAGAAAAAAAAATTCCACTCCAAACAAAGATGTAAACAAACTTCTTGCACACAGAGTTCAAAATATAAATGTGTCTTACAACGAATCGAAAATGAAAAAAGCCATTTTAAACAACTGTCTGGAGCAATTCATCAATAAATTAAAGGACTTACGCATACTCTATTCCTTTTAATTAGAAAACAACACCCAAGACAGTCTGAACTTAACTTTCTATTAATTAGTAAAAGTTCTTCATCAAATAATACTTTCAGCGAAATAGTTTCAGTGATAAATGACTTTATTAAAATTCAAGCAGTCAAACAAAGTTAATTTACGGAACATAATGTAAACAAGACATCAATTAGTTTTTTGAATGAGAATGAGATGTTATTTAAAAGAAAGAAACAAAATATAAGCAACAAATTTTATGTTGCCAAATGATAGTTTAAAGATTAGACTGAATGTCAAACAAAATGATTAGAGATTGAAACAGAAACCATGGCAGCTAGAAGCTTACGATCCTGAAGTTTCACAGACAATTTTTTTTTAATGATCTGCTTTTTTAAAATTTACTGCAGAATAGCATGCGAAAAAAATAAGCAGAGCCAGTTTAGCATCAATATTAAAAGAAGAAAGCATCTGGCACTTTAACTTTCCCATTCTATAAAAAAATCTCGGCAATCATTTTAGTCACAATCTTACGCAAAACTGAAATTCGCTCATGGTTGGACTCACGTCAAACTTTTTCAACAGTTTTATGCACCGCAGGATGACATATATTTTTTAAAAAATAAGCGCAAATTTTTATTTTTACTACACTTTCCTGAATTTTTCCGAGATAGATATTTCTGTTTTCTCAAACATCTTGAATCGATAAAAACCTTCCAAAACAGTAGCAACAGAATCCAGAGTTAATCAAAACAGAACGATAATGTTGGCAGGTCGTTCGTGATTTTATTTATTTATTTTTGGATCTGAAAACAATTTTATAGTAAATATTGAACTTCACAAGACCTGAAATATAAAATATAAGTAGTATTCATTCTTTTCCTGTGTTCAGGGCTGAGCTATGAAAACAAATTTTAAATTGGAAGAAATATTTTGCGGCATATACTTTCGGCAATCTAATTACAATATATAT